AAATGCAATGATTTAAACATGTTCGCCTATATTCAAGAATTTTGCGCTTAATTTACGTGGGTTCCAAATGTTGATTGGCATTGGAAATGACATGTATCAGGTCTGAGAGCTTTTAAAAGCTACTCGCAAGGGCAATAACTACATGACATTCAGAGAACACAAATCTTTTAACATTCAATAAGGTGTCTACCTTTTACCTTAAATGAAACTTGAACTTACCTGTTGTTGTTTGAGGTGTTGAACCCGGTGTTGTTTCTGGTGTTGTTTCAGGTGTTGAACCTGATGTTGTCTCTGGTGTTGTATCAGGTGTTGAACCCGGTGTTGTTTCTGGTGTTGTTTCAGGTGTTGAACCTGAAGATGTCTCTGGTGTTGCTTCAGGTGTTGAACCCGGTGTTGTTTCTGGTGTTGTTTCAGGTGTTGAACCCGGTGTTGTACCTGAGGAAACAAATAATTGTTAAATGCAATGATTTAAACATGTTCGCCTATATTCAAGAATTTTGCGCTTAATTTACGTGGGTTTCAAATGTTGATGGGAAATGACATGTATCAGATCTAAGAGCTTTTAAAAGCTACTTGCAAGGGCAATAACTACATGACATTCAGAGAACACAAATCTTTTAACATTCAATAAGGTGTCTACCTTTTACCTTAAATGAAACTTGAACTTACCTGTTGTTGTTTCAGGTGTTGAACCCGGTGTTGATTCTGGTGTTGTTTTACGTGTTGAACCCGATGTTGTTTCTGGTGTTGTTTGAGGTGTTGAACCCTGTGTTGTTTCTGGTGTTGTTTCAGGTGTTGAACCTGATGTTGTCTCTGGTGTTGTATCAGGTGTTGAACCCGGTGTTGTTTCTGGTGTTGTTTCAGGTGTTGAACCTGATGTACTTTCTGGTGTTGTTTCAGGTGTTGAACCTGATGTTGTCTCTGGTGTTGTTTCTGCTGTTGAACCCGGTGTTGTTTCTAGTGTTGTTTCAGGCGTTGAACCCGGTGTTGTACCTGAGGAAACAAATAATTGTGAAATGCAATGATTTAAACATGTTCGCCTATATTCAAGAATTTTGCGCTTAATTTACGTGGGTTCCAAATGTTGATTGGCATTGGAAATGACATGTATCAGATCTGAGAGCTTTTAAAAGCTACTCGCAAGGGCAATAACTACATGACATTCAGAGAACACAAATCTTTTAACATTCAATAAGGTGTCTACCTTTTACCTTAAATGAAACTTGAACTTACCTGTTGTTGTTTGAGGTGTTGAACCCGGTGTTGTTTCTGGTGTTGTTTCAGGTGTTGAACCTGATGTTGTCTCTGGTGTTGTATCACGTGTTGAACCCGGTGTTGTTTCTGGTGTTGTTTCAGGTGTTGAACCTGAAGATGTCTCTGGTGTTGCTTCAGGTGTTGAACCCGGTGTTGTTTCTGGTGTTGTTTCAGGTGTTGAACCCGGTGTTGTACCTGAGGAAACAAATAATTGTTAAATGCAATGATTTAAACATGTTCGCCTATATTCAAGAATTTTGCGCTTAATTTACGTGGGTTCCAAATGTTGATTGGCATTGGAAATGACATTTATCAGATCTGAGAGCTTTTAAAAGCTACTCGCAAGGGCAATAACTACATGACATTCAGAGAACACAAATCTTTTAAAATGCAATAAGGTGTCTACCTTTTACCTTAAATGAAACTTGAACTTACCTGTTGTTGTTTCAGGTGTTGAACCCGGTGTTGATTCTGGTGTTGTTTTACGTGTTGAACCTGATGTTGTTTCTGGTGTTGTTTGAGGTGTTGAACCCTGTGTTGTTTCTGGTGTTGTTTCAGGTGTTGAACCTGATGTTGTCTCTGGTGTTGTTTCAGGTGTTGAACCTGATGTTGTCTCTGGTGTTGTTTCAGGTGTTGAACCCGGTGTTGTTTCTGGTGTTGCTTCAGGCGTTGAACCCGGTGTTGTACCTGAGGAAACAAATAATTGATAAATGCAATGATTTAAACATGTTCGCCTATATTCAAGAATTTTGCGCTTAATTTACGTGGGTTTCAAATGTTTATTAGCATTGGAAATGACATGTTTCAGGTCTGAGAGCTTTTCAATATATAGGCGTACATGTTTAATTCATTGCATTTAACAAAGGTGTTGAACCCGGTGTTGTTTCTGTTGTTGTTTTAGGTTTTGAACCCGGTGTTGTACCTGAGGAAACAAATAATTGTTAAATGCAGTGATTTAAACATGTACGCCTATATTCAAGAATTCTGCGCTTAAATTACGTGGGTTTCAAATGTTGATGGGAAATGACATGTATCAGGTCTGAGAGATTTTCAAAGCTACTCACAGGGGCAATAACTACATGACATTCAGAGAACACGAATCTTTTAACATTCAATAAGGTGTCTAATTTTTAATCCTCCAAAAAAACTTGAGCTAACCTGGTGTCGTTTCAGGTGTTGAACCTGATGTTGTCTCTGGTGTTGTTTCAGGTGTTGAACCTGATGTTGTCTCTGGTGTTGTTTCAGATGTTGAACCCGGTGTTGTTTCTGGTGTTGTTTCAGGTGTTGAACCTGATGTAGTTTCGGGTGTTGTTTCAGGGGTTGAACCCTGTGTTGTTTCTGGTGTTGTTTCAGGTGTTGGACCTAATGTTGTCTCTGGTGTTGTTTCAGGTGTTGAATCCGGTGTTGTACCTGAGGAAACAAATAATTGTTAAATGCAATGAATTAAACATGTACGCCTATATTCAAGAATTTTGCGCCTAATTTACGTGGGTTTCAAATGTTAATGGGAAATGACATGTATCAGGTTGAACCTGATGTTGATTCTGGTGTTGTTTCAGGTGTTGAACCCGGTGTTGTTTCTGGTGTTTTTCCAGGTGTTAAACTCGGTGTTGTACCTGAGGAAACAAATAATTGTTAAATGCAATGATTTAAACATATTCGCCTATATTCAAGAATTTTGCGCTTAATTTAAGATGGTTTCAAACGTTGTTTAGCATTGGAAATGACATGTATCAGGTCTGACAAATTTGTCATGCTGCTCTCAGGGGCAATAACTACATGACATTCAGAGAACACAAATCTTTTAAAATTCAATAAGGTATCTAGTTTTAATCTCTAATAAAACTTGAGCTAACCTGGTGTTGTTGCAGGTGTTGAACCCGGTGTTGTTTCAAAGCTACTTACAGGGGCAATAACTACATGACATTCAGAGAACACAAATCTTTTAAAATTCAATGAGGTATCTAGTTTTAATCCTCCAATAAAACCTAAGCTAACCTGGTGTTGTTTCAGGCGTTGAACCCGGTGTTGTACCTGAGGAAACAAATAATTGTTAAATGCAATGATTTAAACATGTACGCCTATATTCAATTATTTTGCGCTTAATTTACGTGGGTTTCAAATGTTGATTAGCATTGGAAATGACATGTATCAGGTCTGAGAGCTTTTCAAAGCTACTCACAGGTGCAATAACTCATGACATTCAGAGAATACAAATATTTTAACATTCAATAAGGTGTCTAGTTTTAATCCTCCAATAAAACTTGAGCTAACCTGGCGTCGTTTCAGGTGTTGAACCCAGTGTTGTTTCTGGTGTCGTTTCGGGTGTTGAACCTGATGTTGTTTCTGGTAGTGTTCCAGGTGTTGAACCCGGTGTTGTTTCTGGTGTTGTTTCAGGTGTTGATCCCGGTGATGTTCCTGGGGAAAACAATTAATGTTAAATGCATTAATATATAAATGTACACCTTTTTTCGAGATTCATGCCCTTAATTCAAGTGGTTATCAGTTGATGTTTGGCCCTGGAAAAGAATCAATCAGGTTTGACAAATTTGTCATGCTGCTCACAGGGGCAATAACCATATGAAATTCAAGGAACACAAATCCTTTACAATTCAAGAAGGTGTCTAGGTATGAACCGTAAACAAAACTTGACGTTACCTGGTGTTGTGCCCTGTGTAGTACCTGTTGGAGTTTTTGGTGTTGATTCACGTATTGTAACCGGTGTTGTTCCTGAGGAAAAAAGTAAATGATACATGCAATGATTTATACATATACACCCATTCGCAAGAATATTATGCTGAATTGACGTGGTTTAAAAATGCTGTTTGGCTTTGGAAATAACATTTATCAGGTCTGACAATTTTTAAAGCTGCTCTTAGGGGCAATATCTATATGAAATTCAGAGAACACAAATCCTTTACAATTCAATAAGGTGTCTAGCTATGAACCTTAAAGAAACCTTGACGTTGCCTGGTGTTGTGCCCGGTTTAGTACCTGTTGTATTTTCTGGTGTTGTTTCAGGTATTGTAACCGGTGTTGTTCCTGAGGAAGAAAGTAAATGTTATATGCAATGATTGATACGTATACACCTATATTCAAGAATATTATGCTGAATTTACTGTGGTTTACAAATGCTGTTTGGCTTTCAAAATGACATTTATCAGGTCCGACACTTTCGTAAGGCTGCTCACAGGGGCAATAACCATATGAAATTCAGAGAACACAAATCCCTTACAGTTCAATAAGGTGTCTAGCTATGAATCATACAGAAACATTGACGTTACCTGACAATTGGAGAACACAAATCCTTTCAAATTCAAAAAAGTGTCAAGCTTTAAACCTAAAATAAATCTCGACCTAACCAGGTGTTGTTTGAGGTGTTGAACCTGGTGTTGTTTCTGGTGTTGTTTCAGGTGTTGAACCTGATGTTGTTTCAGGTGTTGAACCCGGTGTTTTTACTGAGGAAACAAATAATTGTTAAAAGCAATGATTTAAACATATTCGCCTATATTCAAGAATTTTGCGCTTAATTTAAGTGGGTTTCAAATGTTGTTTAGCATTGGAAATGAGATGTGCCAGGTCTGACAAATTTTCAAAGCTACTCGCAAGGGCAATAACTACATGACATTCAGAGAACACAAATATTTTATCATTCAATAAGGTGTCTAGTTTTAATCCTCCAATAAAACTTGAGCTAACCTGGCGTCGTTTCAGGTGTTGAACCCGGTGTTGTTTCTGGTGTTGAACCTGATGTTGTCCCTGGTGTTGTGCCTGGTTTAGTACCTGTTGTAGTTTCTGGTGTTGTTTCAGTTATTGTAACCGGTGTTGTTCCTGAGGAAGAAAGTAAATGTTATATGCAATGATTGATACGTATACACCTGTATTCAAGAATTTTACACTGAATTTACGTGGTTTACAAATGTTGTTTGGCTTTCAAAATGACATTTATCAGGTCTGACACTTTCGTAAGGCTGCTCACAGGGGCAATAACCATATAAAATTCAGAGAAAACAAATCCTTTGCAATTCAATAAGGTGTCTACCTATGAACCGTAAACAAAACTTGACGTTACCTGGTGTTGTGCCTGGTGTAGTACCTGTTGCAGTTTCTGGTGTTGTTTCAGGTATTGTAACTGGTGTTGTTACTGAGGAAAAAAGTAAATGTTACATACAATGATTTATACATATACACCTATATTCAAGAATTTTGTGCTGAATTTACGAGGTTTACAAAGGCTGTTTGGCTTGAAAATGACATTTATCAGGTCTGACAATTTTGTAAAGCTGCTCACAGGTGCAATAACCATATGAAATTCAGAGAACACAAATCCTTTGCAATTCAATAAGGTGTCTACCTATGAACCGTAAACAAAACTTGACGTTACCTGGTGTTGTGCCTGGTGTAGTACCTGTTGTAGTTTCTGGTGTTGTTTCAGGTATTGTAACCGGTGTTGTTCCTGAGGAAGAAAGTAAATGTTATATGCAATGATTTATACATATACACCTATATTCAAGAATTTTATGCTGAATTTACGTGGCTTACAAATGCTGTTTGGCTTTGGAAATGACATTTATCAGGTCTGATAAATTTTTAAAGCTGCTCTTAGGGGCAATATCTATATGAAATTCAGAGAACACAAATCCTTTACAATTCAATAAGGTTCTTTAGCTATGAACCTTAAAAAAACCTTGACGTTACCTGGTGTTGTGCCTGGTTTAGTACCTGTTGTAGTTTCTGGTGTTGTTTCAGGTATTGTAACCGGTGTTGTTCCTGAGGAAGAAAGTAAATGTTATATGCAATGATTGATACGTATACACCTATATTCAAGAATATTATGCTGAATTTACTGTGGTTTACAAATGCTGTTTGGCTTTCAAAATGACATTTATCAGGTCCGACACTTTCGTAAGGCTGCTCACAGGGGCAATAACCATATGAAATTCAGAGAACACAAATCCCTTACAGTTCAATAAGGTGTCTAGCTATGAATCATACAGAAACCTTGACGTTACCTGACAATTGGAGAACACAAATCCTTTCAAATTCAAAAAAGTGTCAAGCTTTAAACCTAAAATAAATCTCGACCTAACCAGGTGTTGTTTGAGGTGTTGAACCTGGTGTTGTTTCTGGTGTTGTTTCAGGTGTTGAACCTGATGTTGTTTCAGGTGTTGAACCCGGTGTTTTTACTGAGGAAACAAATAATTGTTAAAAGCAATGATTTAAACATATTCGCCTATATTCAAGAATTTTGCGCTTAATTTAAGTGGGTTTCAAATGTTGTTTAGCATTGGAAATGAGATGTGCCAGGTCTGACAAATTTTCAAAGCTACTCGCAAGGGCAAAAACTACATGACATTCAGAGAACACAAATATTTTATCATTCAATAAGGTGTCTAGTTTTAATCCTCCAATAAAACTTGAGCTAACCTGGCATCGTTTCAGGTGTTGAACCCGGTGTTGTTTCTGGTGTTGTTTCGGGTGTTGAACCTGATGTTGTCCCTGGTGTTGTGCCTGGTTTAGTACCTGTTGTAGTTTCTGGTGTTGTTTCAGTTATTGTAACCGGTGTTGTTCCTGAGGAAGAAAGTAAATGTTATATGCAATGATTGATACGTATACACCTGTATTCAAGAATTTTACGCTGAATTTACGTGGTTTACAAATGTTGTTTGGCTTTCAAAATGATATTTATCAGGTCTGACACTTTCGTAAGGCTGCTCACAGGGGCAATAACCATATAAAATTCAGAGAAAACAAATCCTTTGCAATTCAATAAGGTGTATACCTATGAACCGTAAACAAAACTTGACGTTACCTGGTGTTGTGCCTGGTGTAGTACCTGTTGCAGTTTCTGGTGTTGTTTCAGGTATTGTAACTGGTGTTGTTACTGAGGAAAAAAGTAAATGTTACATACAATGATTTATACATATACACCTATATTCAAGAATTTTGTGCTGAATTTACGAGGTTTACAAAGGCTGTTTGGCTTGTAAATGACATTTATCAGGTCTGACAATTTTGTAAAGCTGCTCACAGGTGCAATAACCATATGAAATTCAGAGAACACAAATCCTTTGCAATTCAATAAGGTGTCTACCTATGAACCGTAAACAAAACTTGACGTTACCTGGTGTTGTGCCTGGTGTAGTACCTGTTGTAGTTTCTGGTGTTGTTTCAGGTATTGTAACCGGTGTTGTTCCTGAGGAAGAAAGTAAATGTTATATGCAATGATTTATACATATACACCTATATTCAAGAATTTTATGCTGAATTTACGTGGCTTACAAATGCTGTTTGGCTTTGGAAATGACATTTATCAGGTCTGATAAATTTTTAAAGCTGCTCTTAGGGGCAATATCTATATGAAATTCAGAGAACACAAATCCTTTACAATTCAATAAGGTTCTTTAGCTATGAACCTTAAAAAAACCTTGACGTTACCTGGTGTTGTGCCTGGTTTAGTACCTGTTGTAGTTTCTGGTGTTGTTTCAGGTATTGTATCCGGTGTTGTTCCTTAGGAAGAAAATAAATGTTATATGCAATGATTAATACATATACACCCATTCGCAATAATTTTATGCTGAATTTACGTGGTTTACAAGAGCTGTTTGGCTTTCGAAATGACATTTATCAGGTCTGACAATTTTGTAAAGCTGTTCACAGGGGTAAAAACCGTATGAAATTCAGAGAAAACAAATCCTTTGCAATTCAATGAGGTGTCTACCTATGAACCGTAAACAAAACTTGACGTTACCTGGTGTTGTGCCTGGTGTAGTACCTGTTGTAGTTTCTGGTGTTGTTTCAGGTATTGTAACCGGTGTTGTTACTGAGGAAGAAAGTAAATGTTATATGCAATGATTTATACATATACACCTATATTCAAGAGTTTTATGCTGAATTTACGTGGTTTACAAATGCTGTTTGGCTTTGAAAATGACATTTATCAGGTCTGACAAATTTTTAAAGCTGCTCTTAGGGGCAATATCTATATGAAATTCAGAGAACACAAATCCTTTACAATTCAATAAGGTTCTTTAGCTATGAACCATAAAAAAACCTTGACGGTACCTGGTGTAGTGCCTGGTTTAGTACCTGTTGTAGTTTCTGGTGTTGTTTCAGGTATTGTATCCGGTGTTGTTCCTGAGGAAGAAAATAAATGTTATATGCAATGATTAATACATATACACCCATTCGCAATAATTTTATGCTGAATTTACGTGGTTTACAAGAGCTGATTGGCTTTCGAATTACATTGATCAGGTCTGACAATTTCGTAAGGCTGCTCACAGGTGCAATAACCATATGAAATTCAGAGAACACAAATCCTTTGCAATTCAATAAGGTGTCTAGCTATGAACCGTAAACAAAACTTGACGTTACCTGGTGTTGTGCCTGGTGTAGTACCTGTTGTAGTTTCTGGTGTTGTTTCAGGTATTGTAACCGGTGTTGTTCCTGAGGAAGAAAGTAAATGTTATATGCAATGATTGATACGTATACACCTGTATTCAAGAATTTTACGCTGAATTTACGTGGTTTAAAAATGTTGTTTGGCTTTCAAAATGACATTTATCAGGTCTGACACTTTTGTAAGGCTGCTCACAGGGGCAATAACCATATGAAATTCAGAGAAGACAAATCCCTTACAGTTCAATAAGGTGTCTAGCTATGAACCGTAAAGAAACCTTGACGTTATCTGGTGTTGTGACTAGTGTAATACCTGTTGCAGTTTTTGGTGTTGATTCAGGTATTGTAAGTGGTGTTGTTTCTGAGGAAAAAGTAAATGTTATAAACAATGATTGACACCTATATTCAAGAATTTTATGCTGAATTGGCGTGGTTTACAAGAGCTGTTTGGCTTTGGAATGACATTTATCAGGTCTGACAATTTTGTAAAGCTGCTCACAGGGGCCATTACCATATGGAATTTAGAGAGCACAAATCCTTTACAATTCAATAAGGTGTCTAGCTATGAACCGTAAACAAAACTAGACGTTACCTGGTGTTGTGCCTGGTGTAGTACCTGTTGTAGTTTCTGGTGTTGTTTCAGGTATTGTATCCGGTGTTGTTCCTGAGGAAGAAAATAAATGTTATATGCAATGATTAATACATATACACCAATTCGCAATAATTTTACGCTGAATTTCCTTGGTTAACAAATGCTGTTTGGCTTTACAAATAACATTTATAAGGTCTGACAATTTTGTAAAGCTGTTCACAGGGGCAAAAACCATATGAAATTCAGAGAAAACGAATCCTTTGCAATTCAATAAGGTGTCTAGCTATGAACCGTAAACAAAACTTGATGTTACCTGGTGTTGTGCCTGGTGTAGTACCTGTTGCAGTTTCTGGTGTTGATTCAGGTATTGTAACCGGTGTTGTTACTGAGGAAGAAAGTAAATGTTATATGCAATGATTTATACATATACACCTATATTCAAGAATTTTATGCTGAATTTACGTGGTTTACCACTGCTGTTTGGCTTTGAAAATGACATTTATCAGGTCTGACAATTCTGTAAAGCTGTTCACATGGGCAAAAACCATATGAAATTCAGAGAAAACAAATCCTTTGCAATTAAATAAGGTGTCTAGCTATAAACCTTAAAAAAACCTTGACGTTACCTGGTGTTGTGCCTGGTTTAGTACCTGTTGTATTTTCCGGTGTTGTTTCAGGTATTGTAACCGTTGTTGTTCCTGAGGAAGAAAGTAAATGTTATATGCAATGATTGATACGTATACACCTGTATTCAAGAATTTTACGCTGAATTTACTTGGTTTAAAAATGCTGTTTGGCTTTCAAAATGACATTTATCAGGTCTGACACTTTCGTAAGGCTGCTCACAGGGGCAATAACCATATAAAATTCAGAGAACACAAATCCCTTACAGTTCAATAAGGTGTCTAGCTATGAACCGTAAAGAAACCTTAACGTTACCTGGTGTTGTGCCTGGTGTAGTACCTGTTGCAGTTTTTGGTGTTGATTCAGGTATTGTAAGCGGTGTTGTTTCTGAGGAAAAAGTAAATGTTATAAACAATGATTGACACCTATATTAAAGAATTTTATGCTGAATTTACGTGGTTTACAAGAGCTGTTTGGCTTTCGAAATGACATTTATCAGGTCTGACAATTTCGTAAGGCTGCTCACAGGTGCAATAACCATATGAAATTCAGAGAACACAAATCCTTTGCAATTCAATAAGGTGTCTAGCTATGAACCGTAAACAAAACTAGACGTTACCTGGTGTTGTGCCTGGTGTAGTACCTGTTGTAGTTTCTGGTGTTGTGTCAGGTATTGTAACCGGTGTTGTTCCTGAGGAAGAAAGTAAATGCTATATGCTATGATTGATACATATACACCTATATTCAAGAATTGTATGCAGAATTTACGTGGTTCACGCATGCTGCTTGGCTTTGGAAATAACATTTATAAGGTCTGACAATTTTGTAAAGCTGTTCACAGGGGCAAAAACCATATGAAATTCAGAGAAAACGAATCCTTTGCAATTCAATAAGGTGTCTAGCTATGAACCGTAAACAAAACTTGACGTTACCTGGTGTTGTGCCTGGTGTAGTACCTGTTGTAGTTTCTGGTGTTGTTTCAGGTATTGTATCCGGTGTTGTTCCTGAGGAAGAAAATAAATGTTATATGCAATGATTAATACATATACACCAATTCGCAATAATTTTACGCTGAATTTCCTTGGTTAACAAATGCTGTTTGGCTTTACAAATAACATTTATAAGGTCTGACAATTTTGTAAAGCTGTTCACAGGGGCAAAAACCATATGAAATTCAGAGAAAACGAATCCTTTGCAATTCAATAAGGTGTCTAGCTATGAACCGTAAACAAAACTTGATGTTACCTGGTGTTGTGCCTGGTGTAGTACCTGTTGCAGTTTCTGGTGTTGATTCAGGTATTGTAACCGGTGTTGTTACTGAGGAAGAAAGTAAATGTTATATGCAATGATTTATACATATACACCTATATTCAAGAATTTTATGCTGAATTTACGTGGTTTACCACTGCTGTTTGGCTTTGAAAATGACATTTATCAGGTCTGACAATTCTGTAAAGCTGTTCACATGGGCAAAAACCATATGAAATTCAGAGAAAACAAATCCTTTGCAATTAAATAAGGTGTCTAGCTATAAACCTTAAAAAAACCTTGACGTTACCTGGTGTTGTGCCTGGTTTAGTACCTGTTGTATTTTCCGGTGTTGTTTCAGGTATTGTAACCGTTGTTGTTCCTGAGGAAGAAAGTAAATGTTATATGCAATGATTGATACGTATACACCTGTATTCAAGAATTTTACGCTGAATTTACTTGGTTTAAAAATGCTGTTTGGCTTTCAAAATGACATTTATCAGGTCTGACACTTTCGTAAGGCTGCTCACAGGGGCAATAACCATATAAAATTCAGAGAACACAAATCCTATACAGTTCAATAAGGTGTCTAGCTATGAACCGTAAAGAAACCTTAACGTTACCTGGTGTTGTGCCTGGTGTAGTACCTGTTGCAGTTTTTGGTGTTGATTCAGGTATTGTAAGCGGTGTTGTTTCTGAGGAAAAAGTAAATGTTATAAACAATGATTGACACCTATATTAAAGAATTTTATGCTGAATTTACGTGGTTTACAAGAGCTGTTTGGCTTTCGATATGACATTTATCAGGTCTGACAATTTCGTAAGGCTGCTCACAGGTGCAATAACCATATGAAATTCAGAGAACACAAATCCTTTGCAATTCAATAAGGTGTCTAGCTATGAACCGTAAACAAAACTAGACGTTACCTGGTGTTGTGCCTGGTGTAGTACCTGTTGTAGTTTCTGGTGTTGTGTCAGGTATTGTAACCGGTGTTGTTCCTGAGGAAGAAAGTAAATGCTATATGCTATGATTGATACATATACACCTATATTCAAGAATTGTATGCAGAATTTACGTGGTTCACGCATGCTGCTTGGCTTTGGAAATAACATTTATAAGGTCTGACAATTTTGTAAAGCTGTTCACAGGGGCAAAAACCATATGAAATTCAGAGAAAACGAATCCTTTGCAATTCAATAAGGTGTCTAGCTATGAACCGTAAACAAAACTTGATGTTACCTGGTGTTGTGCCTGGTGTAGTACCTGTTGCAGTTTCTGGTGTTGATTCAGGTATTGTAACCGGTGTTGTTACTGAGGAAGAAAGTAAATGTTATATGCAATGATTTATACATATACACCTATATTCAAGAATTTTATGCTGAATTTACGTGGTTTACCACTGCTCTTTGGCTTTGAAAATGACATTTATCAGGTCTGACAATTCTATAAAGCTGTTCACAGGGGCAAAATCCATATGAAATTCAGAGAAAACAAATCCTTTGCAATTAAATAAGGTGTCTAGCTATGAACCTTAAAAAAACCTTGACGTTACCTGGTGTTGTGCCTGGTTTAGTACCTGTTGTATTTTCCGGTGTTGTTTCAGGTATTGTAACCGTTGTTGTTCCTGAGGAAGAAAGTAAATGTTATATGCAATGATTGATACGTATACACCTGTATTCAAGAATTTTACGCTGAATTTACTTGGTTTAAAAATGCTGTTTGGCTTTCAAAATGACATTTATCAGGTCTGACACTTTCGTAAGGCTGCTCACAGGGGCAATAACCATATAAAATTCAGAGAACACAAATCCCTTACAGTTCAATAAGGTGTCTAGCTATGAACCGTAAAGAAACCTTAACGTTACCTGGTGTTGTGCCTGGTGTAGTACCTGTTGCAGTTTTTGGTGTTGATTCAGGTATTGTAAGCGGTGTTGTTTCTGAGGAAAAGGTAAATGTTATAAACAATGATTGACACCTATATTAAAGAATTTTATGCTGAATTTACGTGGTTTACAAGAGCTGTTTGGCTTTCGAAATGACATTTATCAGGTCTGACAATTTCGTAAGGCTGCTCACAGGTGCAATAACCATATGAAATTCAGAGAACACAAATCCTTTGCAATTCAATAAGGTGTCTAGCTATGAACCGTAAACAAAACTAGACGTTACCTGGTGTTGTGCCTGGTGTAGTACCTGTTGTAGTTTCTGGTGTTGTTTCAGGTATTGTAACCGGTGTTGTTCCTGAGGAAGAAAGTAAATGCTATATGCTATGATTGATACATATACACCTATATTCAAGAATTGTATGCAAAATTTACGTGGTTCACACATGCTGCTTGGCTTTAGAAATGACATTTATCAGGTCTGACAATTTTGTAAAGCTGTTCACAGGGGCCATTACCCTATGATATTCGGAGAACACAAATCCTTTACAATTCAATAAGGTGTCTAGCTATGAACCGTAAAAAAACTCAACGTTCCTGGTGTTGTGCCTGTTGTAGTACCTGTTGCAGTTTCTGGTGTTGATTCAGGTATTGTAACTGGTGTTGTTACTGAGGAAAAAAGTAAATGTTACATACAATGATTTATACATATACACCTATATTCAAGAATTTTGTGCTGAATTTACGAGGTTTACAAAGGCTGTTTGGCTTTGAAAATGACATTTATCAGGGCTGACAATTTTGTAAAGCTGCTCACAGGAGCCATTACCATATGGAATTTAGAGAGCACAAGTCCTTTACAATTCAATAAGGTGTCTAGCTATGAACCGTAAACAAAACTTGACGTTACCTGGTGTTGTACCTGGTGTAGTACCTGTTGCAGTTTCTGGTGTTGTTTCAGGTATTGTATCCGGTGTTGTTCCTGAGGAAGAAAATAAATGTTATATGCAATGATTAATACATATACACCCATTCGCAATAATTTTATGCTGAATTTCCGTGGTTTACAAATGCTGTTTGGCTTTGGAAATAACATTTATAAGGTCTGACAATTTTGTAAAGCTGTTCACAGAGGTAAAACCATATGAAATTCAGAGAAAACAAATCCTTTGCAATTCAATAAGGTGTCTAGCTATGAAACGTAAACAAAACTTGACGTTACCTGGTGTTGTGCCTGGTGTAGTACCTGTTGCAGTTTCTGGTGTTGATTCAGGTATTGTAACCGGTGTTGTTACTGAGGAAAAAACTAAATGTTATATGCAATTATTTATACATATACACCTATATTCAAGAATTTTATGCTGAATTTACGTGGTTTACCACTGCTGTTTGGCTTTGAAAATGACATTTATCAGGTCTGACAATTCTGTAAAGCTGTTCACATGGGCAAAAACCATATGAAATTCAGAGAAAACAAATCCTTTGCAATTAAATAAGGTGTCTAGCTATAAACCTTAAAAAAACCTTGACGTTACCTGGTGTTGTGCCTGGTTTAGTACCTGTTGTATTTTCCGGTGTTGTTTCAGGTATTGTAACCGTTGTTGTTCCTGAGGAAGAAAGTAAATGTTATATGCAATGATTGATACGTATACACCTGTATTCAAGAATTTTACGCTGAATTTACTTGGTTTAAAAATGCTGTTTGGCTTTCAAAATGACATTTATCAGGTCTGACACTTTCGTAAGGCTGCTCACAGGGGCAATAACCATATAAAATTCAGAGAACACAAATCCTATACAGTTCAATAAGGTGTCTAGCTATGAACCGTAAAGAAACCTTAACGTTACCTGGTGTTGTGCCTGGTGTAGTACCTGTTGCAGTTTTTGGTGTTGATTCAGGTATTGTAAGCGGTGTTGTTTCTGAGGAAAAAGTAAATGTTATAAACAATGATTGACACCTATATTAAAGAATTTTATGCTGAATTTACGTGGTTTACAAGAGCTGTTTGGCTTTCGATATGACATTTATCAGGTCTGACAATTTCGTAAGGCTGCTCACAGGTGCAATAACCATATGAAATTCAGAGAACACAAATCCTTTGCAATTCAATAAGGTGTCTAGCTATGAACCGTAAACAAAACTAGACGTTACCTGGTGTTGTGCCTGGTGTAGTACCTGTTGTAGTTTCTGGTGTTGTGTCAGGTATTGTAACCGGTGTTGTTCCTGAGGAAGAAAGTAAATGCTATATGCTATGATTGATACATATACACCTATATTCAAGAATTGTATGCAGAATTTACGTGGTTCACGCATGCTGCTTGGCTTTGGAAATAACATTTATAAGGTCTGACAATTTTGTAAAGCTGTTCACAGGGGCAAAAACCATATGAAATTCAGAGAAAACGAATCCTTTGCAATTCAATAAGGTGTCTAGCTATGAACCGTAAACAAAACTTGATGTTACCTGGTGTTGTGCCTGGTGTAGTACCTGTTGCAGTTTCTGGTGTTGATTCAGGTATTGTAACCGGTGTTGTTACTGAGGAAGAAAGTAAATGTTATATGCAATGATTTATACATATACACCTATATTCAAGAATTTTATGCTGAATTTACGTGGTTTACCACTGCTCTTTGGCTTTGAAAATGACATTTATCAGGTCTGACAATTCTATAAAGCTGTTCACAGGGGCAAAATCCATATGAAATTCAGAGAAAACAAATCCTTTGCAATTAAATAAGGTGTCTAGCTATGAACCTTAAAAAAACCTTGACGTTACCTGGTGTTGTGCCTGGTTTAGTACCTGTTGTATTTTCCGGTGTTGTTTCAGGTATTGTAACCGTTGTTGTTCCTGAGGAAGAAAGTAAATGTTATATGCAATGATTGATACGTATACACCTGTATTCAAGAATTTTACGCTGAATTTACTTGGTTTAAAAATGCTGTTTGGCTTTCAAAATGACATTTATCAGGTCTGACACTTTCGTAAGGCTGCTCACAGGGGCAATAACCATATAAAATTCAGAGAACACAAATCCCTTACAGTTCAATAAGGTGTCTAGCTATGAACCGTAAAGAAACCTTAACGTTACCTGGTGTTGTGCCTGGTGTAGTACCTGTTGCAGTTTTTGGTGTTGATTCAGGTATTGTAAGCGGTGTTGTTTCTGAGGAAAAGGTAAATGTTATAAACAATGATTGACACCTATATTAAAGAATTTTATGCTGAATTTACGTGGTTTACAAGAGCTGTTTGGCTTTCGAAATGACATTTATCAGGTCTGACAATTTCGTAAGGCTGCTCACAGGTGCAATAACCATATGAAATTCAGAGAACACAAATCCTTTGCAATTCAATAAGGTGTCTAGCTATGAACCGTAAACAAAACTAGACGTTACCTGGTGTTGTGCCTGGTGTAGTACCTGTTGTAGTTTCTGGTGTTGTTTCAGGTATTGTAACCGGTGTTGTTCCTGAGGAAGAAAGTAAATGCTATATGCTATGATTGATACATATACACCTATATTCAAGAATTGTATGCAAAATTTACGTGGTTCACACATGCTGCTTGGCTTTAGAAATGACATTTATCAGGTCTGACAATTTTGTAAAGCTGTTCACAGGGGCCATTACCCTATGATATTCGGAGAACACAAATCCTTTACAATTCAATAAGGTGTCTAGCTATGAACCGTAAAAAAACTCAACGTTCCTGGTGTTGTGCCTGTTGTAGTACCTGTTGCAGTTTCTGGTGTTGATTCAGGTATTGTAACTGGTGTTGTTACTGAGGAAAAAAGTAAATGTTACATACAATGATTTATACATATACACCTATATTCAAGAATTTTGTGCTGAATTTACGAGGTTTACAAAGGCTGTTTGGCTTTGAAAATGACATTTATCAGGGCTGACAATTTTGTAAAGCTGCTCACAGGAGCCATTACCATATGGAATTTAGAGAGCACAAGTCCTTTACAATTCAATAAGGTGTCTAGCTATGAACCGTAAACAAAACTTGACGTTACCTGGTGTTGTACCTGGTGTAGTACCTGTTGCAGTTTCTGGTGTTGTTTCAGGTATTGTATCCGGTGTTGTTCCTGAGGAAGAAAATAAATGTTATATGCAATGATTAATACATATACACCCATTCGCAATAATTTTATGCTGAATTTCCGTGGTTTACAAATGCTGTTTGGCTTTGGAAATAACATTTATAAGGTCTGACAATTTTGTAAAGCTGTTCACAGAGGTAAAACCATATGAAATTCAGAGAAAACAAATCCTTTGCAATTCAATAAGGTGTCTAGCTATGAAACGTAAACAAAACTTGACGTTACCTGGTGTTGTGCCTGGTGTAGTACCTGTTGCAGTTTCTGGTGTTGATTCAGGTATTGTAACCGGTGTTGTTACTGAGGAAGAAAGTAAATGTTATATGCAATGATTTATACATATACACCTATATTCAAGAATTTTATGCTGATTTTACGTGGTTTACAAATGCTGTTTGGCTTTGGAAATGACATTTATCAGGTCTGACAATTTTGTAAAGCTGTTCACAGGGGCAAAAACCATATGAAATTCAGAGAAAACAAATCCTTTAAAATTCAATAAGGTGTCTAGCTATGAAACGTTAAAAAACTTGACGTTACCTGGTGTTGTGCCTGGTGTAGTACATGTTGCAGTTTCTGGTGTTGATTCAGGTATTGTAACCGGAGTTGTTCCTGAGGAAAAAACTAAATGTTATATGCAATTATTTATACATATCACCGTTATTCATGATTTTTGTGTTGAATTTACGTGGTTTACAAATGCTGTTTGGCTTTGGAAATGACATGTATCAGGTCTGACAAATTTGAAAAGCTGCTCACATGGGCAATAACCATATGGAATTTAGAGAGCACAAATCCTTTACAATTCTGGTGAAATACCAGTTGTAGCTCCTGATGTTGTTTCAGGTGTTGAACCCTGAGTTGTTTCTGAGGTAAAAATACATGTTATATGCATTATTATATACATATGCACCTATATTCAAAATCTTGCGCTTTATGGTTATCAATTAATGTTCGGCCTAGGAAATGACATATATCAGGTCAGACAATTTGTTAAAGCTGCTCACGGAGGCAATAACCACGTGACATTATGAGAACCCAAATCCCCCAAACTAATAAAATAAATAGAAAATTAATAATAAGATATGATTAAATATAATGCGCTTTAATATGATGATATATCATTTTGGATGATAAGGGCTTTAGCTTGTACTAACGCATGAAACAATCTGTTTTGTACAAATTCTTCTACATCCTATTTTTTCATAGTGTTCCAAGAAATACATTTGAATTCAACTCAGCTGTGTTTGCCCTCACTTTACTTTAAAGTTTGCAAGAAAAGGATAGCAACTAATGAGCCCTTATCACGGTTCGTACAGATAATATGCCAAACAATTTGGAAATTACAGAATAAGGTTTATTTACTACAGTGTTTGCATAAAGTTCAGGTATATCCTCGCAGATGCAATTGTTACCACCTCCTTTATTATAAGACTCTCTCAGTTACCATTAGCACCACATATATTGGCACCGTACGTGTCGCATGTCTTCACTATTAAACAAACAGTACATTTTTGTTTTGCATGGAGTAATAGTTAGTTAAAAGGTGCATTTACACACAGGCCATACACAAAGAGAGTTGTACAATTTGCTAGCACTAACTAAATACTAAACATTATTCTTAGAAGTACAGGAAGGTCTACGTTTTAGTTCTCAGGATTACAAATCAATTTTCCCGATAAAACGAGACATATTTTATGCACACAATAAATATATAACTATATTGATAACATACATTTAGTACATGTTGGGATTAGCGAAATGTGTCTTTCGAACTAAAAATACAAAACAAATTAAATATTTACGTTGATAATTATAGAAAACAAAAATACATTTGCCTATTTTCTTGCGGCTTCACTAGTTTATATAATATGCAGCCAGGATCGTCAATAGGAGGGGAAGAGTGATACCCCCTTTAAAGATTTTAATTTATAGGCAAATATTTCATGTCCTATCAGTAAATCATGGCATTTTATATTTCGTTACTGTTTAATGAGGAAAATGTGAACATCTACGGCGATGAATTTAGAAATCTGACGACCAGTTGTCGGCACCAAGCTTAGTTAATTTGTGCTAACGATCTTTTTTTCTTTTACAACACAATTTACGTTGTCACAAGAACATGTTAATTTGTGAAACATAAGAGACGTACATTTGTTTTAACACAAAGTACCAGAGAATTACACATACGATTGATTCCAAAACATACAATTTAATGCATGTTGGGTTATCGCTTCCTAAATGAGCATTGTTTAAGTTCATAAATACGGGATCTTCTAACATTTCTGCGAATTGTGGTTTTAAATTCAGGACGTAAAATATGACTTACGTTGAATATTGCTTGTCCTCTCTGCAACCCAAAAGACTGGCCGTGTCTGGACAAATGTTGCCCTAAAAGTGCAGATGAAAAAAAGAAAACAAACCATCTCTTGTAAAAAATATAAGATCACAACCGTCATCTCCATTAAGAAGTAAATGAAGGGTGTCAATAATTCTCCATATTATCTTACTTATATTCTTAAAGTGAAAATGTGTTAAATTTCCATGAACAAGATTATAAATACATTAATGATTCAAATAATAGAACTACACTACAATACAAGGAAAATAGTCATTCCAATGTACTACTGTTTATTTATGAAGCGAGTGATATTTTGATATTGTATTTTAATGGAAGTTTCATTGATCTTAAAAACTAACTTTATTGTCATTATTGCAAAGGTGAAACTTTGATTGGACGAGGTTAAACAAATTCAATACTTGGAAACATTCGAAGTAATGATTATTATCTATTACAAAATGCTTAAATACAGCCCCGGCATAGCACCTGAAAAGCTTCCGATTGCTGCTGAGTTGTCTGACGTCACATGTTGAACATGATTTGCACCAGCACACGATTGTCCCATGACATATCTCATACATTTTCAGCGCCTGTTTTGTCATCTTCTCTTCAGTTATTTCATTTACTTTACTACCGTCAGGCTAAATGTTTAATCTATTGCCTCACTCTAAACCCGCGCAATTTATTTTTTTAATAAAAAATGCAGCGATAAAAAATAAAGGAATCCGTGGCTTGTAAATATAATAAGACGCTATTGTATTTTCAGCTGCATACACCACGGTTTGTTTGGAGTTTCAAGAGGGAACAAATGCCTTCCATGCTACCATTCCGGGGGGGGGGGTGAATTTGAAAGTGTGGTTTCTTTGATTGTTCATTAATCCTCATCATGTGTATTTACAAACAAAATAATTTAGTTATCAGAATGGGGTCATATCCCTTTTCAATGGTGTAAAATTCCATCATATTTAAAGACACTAAACTCATTAAAATTTTAAAAATAATAGCATTGCAAATATGTTCATTCTTTATGGGATGTCGCCTGCTTGGGCAGGATTGGTTCATATTGTGACGGCATATTTCGGTATTTTTCTGCCGAATCTCTCGCATATCTTAGATGCTATGGATGTGGTTTTATTTGTATTTTTATAAATTATCCGATATGTAGTTAACCTAAAACTTGTACGATGGCGATCTGTTAGCTTCCCAGTTTCTAGGGATACGTTATTTGCCAGATATGTGATATTCTGTGAACCGGCACTTTAAGGCCCTTTACCGTACCGCGCCTTGTCGAAAGAGGGCGTCACTTTTAGATATTTTTGATTAGAAATATGTTGGTCGTATGTCAAATTACCTGGCAAAAATTGCCCCGCGGTCTAACTCTTGCACTAATACTTCACTCACACCTCCAAACCTACTACTCCACCCCTCCTCCAAACCGACGGGATCTTGGATACGGAGTAATTCCATGTTTTGTTCGGTCTGTTGTCGGTTTGGTTTCGACCTCATTTCGACCTATATACTTTCCAAAAGAAAACACAAGGAAACTCCAAAGGCCTTGCACGTCACATTTTGAAATGTTCGAACATGACACGGATATATTAGTTACGTAATCGCAACATGAGTTCTACGAGGCATGACAAAGGGTAATGGAATTGCCCTTGAGTTGAGTTTACGAAAGTCTTGGAGCAAGCATTGCATTATAGGTCTACTTACGTCACATAGATATCATCTCCGTTGTCATCAGGAGGTGTCCAGTTCAATTGAAAAGTAGCCGGTTTGTCGTCGTTATTAGTATGCGTTACTGCCGAATTAGCACCGTTACATGCCAGCGTTTGAAAACCCGTGGTGCCCTCTAACGACCATGTACCGATGATTTCATCGGTGCCAGTGAGACGAGCTTGCAACAGAATACCCTTCAAAGCTGGGGTGTTGGCGTTCCTCGAAATTGTGACTGAAAAGAAAACAATACCGATGCAGTTATTTTTAAAGCTGATAATTTTTTTCTTCATTTTGTCAGTTTAGTGAAAAAGATGCACACAATACAATTCATCTCAAAACACTCAGCTTGGTGTAATGCAGCATGATGCATGAATTATACAGAGTGTCTAAAAATAAAGGGAAACCGGCAGAAACTTTTTTTTTACGGTAAGCTCATTCATTTCTTTTCGCATGACGAGTCATACGGAAGTTTTTCTTTCCATTTTAAATTATTACGTTTACCACTCTAAAAAATCACTCAAACTTGCAATTTGTGCGTGGAAATAAAATGGTGCTTGTACAAATTTCCATTTTTTTAATAAAATCATGCCTGAATAATGAATGACAAGTAGTGCATTTAATGAAAGAAGAAAAACCTAGCTTTTTAAAAATATATATCTCATTAAGGAAATCATTAGTTATGATACAAAATATCTGCCATGCAATCCGGTTTGCTTTTTTTTCTGGGACGCCCTGTACTGCCAGGTCTTACATTATGTTTGTGTCTTTGAACGATGAAGTATCAACGTTGTAGATAATTGGACCACAATTAAACATTTGTAAAAAGTTCAAGAATGACTTTTGCTTTAGGTCAAGGTGAAGCCGGGGTGATAATAAGATTGCGAGGCCCTCAGGAAGAACAGTATTAATAATGATGAGGCTACCCTGGATACACAAAGACATATTCTTACTACATGTATTATGATTATTATTATTATCATTGTTATTATTATTATTTTCATTATTATTATTATTAATAAAAGTTAATTTGTGAGCCTTCCCACCGATCTTGTTTCCTTGTGGAATGTTAACTTTTATAGTTATATGGCATATCCCGATAAAATGATTATTCTTGAGGTGCTCCCATTTTTATCAAATAAAACCAGCTCACAGACATTCTACAATCCTAGACCGAAGTTTGACATCACATGTTTTTTTAGTCCCATGTACCCATATTTGGTTTCAAGTGGTTTCGTTGTTTAATTGTGATTTCCTGCTCGATTTAGTCAATACATTTTCTATGATATTTGATGATTTGTAAACCTCACAACACATTTATTCTCCTCTACAACTCAATTAAACATTTAAAAATATCGTCTTGAATAGGCCAGAGAGTACGGCTACATGAATTCTCCAAACTCCATCACAAAAAGGAATATTTGCTTTACATAGTACGATCTATTGAAATCCAGGAGGTTGTATTTCTTTATGAAACAAATACATTCGTGGTACGCCACAAAGCGTGTAAAAACACTCCGTTCACAAAGACGCACGAGACGCAATTTGAATGGCAAAAGTTGGTGTGGTGTGTGCGTGATAGATACTGAACAAATATGCATTAAGAGTAATACTATTATGGGTTATTTGCTTTCCATAATGCGATATATCGAAATCCTAGTGGTTGTATTTCTGTCTAAAAGACAAACATTCATGATACGCGACGAGGCGTGTAAAAACACTCCGTTCACATAGACGCTCGAGACGCAATTTAAATGGCAAAAGTTGATGTGGTGTGTGCGTGATATATACTGAACAGATATGCATTAAAGGTATTACAAAGTTTTGGTATGGGGTCATGAAAAAGGTTCAAATTAACATATTGGAATCATATGGGTTCCTACAATATTCATTGATCGTTGTCGCGGTTGAAATGGAGTCTAAAGTTATGAAATTATAAATAATAAACTCGTTATGTTGTATAGCTCCCTCTCAAGGTCAAGATATTAATTTAGCTATGAAACAATGTTTTTCGACTAAAATCGACCGATTAGCTATTCCCGTTTGGAAATTTTATATCACAACTACATATTCTGAGATTTTCATGGTCGCAGCTAGCATTGTACGGCCATAGGCACTATTCGAAATTTATCAAAATTTACCGGGAGCACCGGTAAATTGTTATAATTCAATTTTTCTCGAAAACAGAAGTGTTTTAGGGGCTAATTTTGTTACTGCTTATAATACATCCACAGGGGCATCCAAATATATACAAATTGTAAAGATTCATTATCCACCCAATTTTCAAAATTTCCCAAAACTTTACTTATACTGTTATGGACTATTTACTTTCCATAATGCGATCTATCGAATTCCAGGTAGTTGTATGTCTGTATGTGTGGTGTGTTCGTGATATAAACTGAACAGACATGCATAAATAGTAACACTAATGATGTTCATGAAACAAATAATATCTCCTCATATATTTAATAATTTATTACTAAGCAGACTAATTATCGAAGCTGCGTGTTTATTCACCTTGATTTTTTTGATTTTTTTTATTCATGATAACTTCAAATTGGTTAAAAACAGTCTCTTTCGTTTCCACAACAGTTTATTTCTCTGATCGTCATCTCTCTTCTCCTGTAATTTTGGGAATATCCAAGGTATTTCGTCAATAAGTGTCCCATTATTCACCCATACGTAGGTGTTCTGAATATCAATTGTCATCATATTGATGGTCCACTGGTTGCTTACCTACAAGATATGTACTTGCTTTCTTAGCAGTCAGTTAACAAAAATCAGTATTATCGTTGTCGTCATCATCATCGTTATCAACGGCGTTGTTATTTGGTCTGATTTGAGCTCTAGTATAGCATTTAAATCAATATAATGATCAGATATACAAATCTATCTCACTGGCCACCTCTCTATAAAGACCACCTGTATGTAGTGGCCATGTATTTTGTATCCCTTGAGAAAGAAATTGGGTCACAAAACCTGTTTAGAAAGACCACTTAACTAATTGACTTCGGTGGCCTCAATAGACATGTTTGACTGTACTAAGGTTTTAGAAGTGGTGGGTAATACGTATGGGACAAAGAGGCATGAATTTTTCCTTTAAAGCCCGTCTGTAATAGTTTAGCCAGGAGGAATTGCACCTCCCACCATGGTCACCAATAGGTGATTATCTCATCAAATCAGCTCACAATTAACCTAAGAAAAAGGAGATCATGGGAGACCAATGGTCACCGATTAGGCATTGCTTGCTATATAGAGGGCGCAAGTAGCTTTAAGTAGTGCAGCGGAGCTTTAAAGTGACGTGAGGCAGAGTGAACTTACCATTCATCTGCTGTCCTGGTTGGTAGAATGCAGGACTCACGGAGATGGTGTAGGGACTGACTGACGTCTGAGAACTGAATCCATGACCCGGTGTCATATCACCGCAGGCCGATGTAGGAGCCCCCGATGGGTACGCGTTGCTGTTTTGAACCTGACATACGACGAACAAGGAAAATGATAGAAGTGTCATCACATTTACCGCCATCTTTATCGTCTTGCTCTACCCTCCAATATAGGTACACCAGTAATCTGAATATTACTTCCTCGTAGACTCCAGTATAAGTTTGTAATGATTTTTCCTGTATGAATCTCAAGTCAATCTTCCTGTATAAGGCTTAGACTATAACCAAGACCAGTTTGATAAATCTATCCCAGGCGCTATAAGAATCTTCCTTGAGTGTTCCACAAATTAATCCAGAGTTTTTTTAAAGAGTCCACCAGGAAGTTCAAGTCAAGGCTAGAATTTACTCGTCCTCTGCCAAAATAGTGTTGGTTATTTCCATTGCGTTTGCAAATGCATAGATGTACACTCTTTTATGCTTGAGCGTTCATACCGAACTGAACTAAGCTATTGGATCGGCCTGGCACGGAACTCTTTTTTTTTCTTTCTCAACCCTTATGTATTGTCTGCTTCATATTTTTGGCATTGGTCATATTTTTTTCAGAGATGAATAAACTGTAGATAGTATGCGATGTGCCCGATAGAGCGAAAAACACGGTGACCACATTGTACAACTGCCTACAGTGTATATATTACCAATGAAAACTCCTGGCAGCATTATGCAGTATAATGAAAAATGGAAAGAGATAATAGACAATGGTATTTGTACACAAACCGAGCAGTTTGATAGCTACCCCATGTTTAATATTAATTAGTCGAACAATATATTTGTAATTCCATTTGGAAGCTGAACATAGGTTAAGCCTCGGTCACAAATGCCATTTAATACGAACTGCTATGAACGCCGTAAGAACGATTTTCTGACAATGGAAATTCGGGAAGACAATGGAAAAACAGGGAGATACGAGGATCCGTTGTTTCTGCCTGAATTGGGTTCTTCAAAAAAGCACGGTCATGAATAGAGCCTTATAGGTAATATTGGGGTTGCAGCCCACGAGACCGCTAGCCCACTATACCGACAGTCCGTTTGATAACTTTTCTGAGGGTTCATCCAAGTTGTCAGAAGGGCTAGTATTAATCGACCGGTGGTTGACATGACAAGCAGGCCACAGACCGACATATTAATCTCATGGGCCTTCTGACAACAGTTTTTGCAGGCAGGGGCGAATCCAGCCGGCGGCAAGAGGGGGGGGCCAAATCTTGAGAAAATATTTAGCGGCGAATCAGCCACCGGTGAACGGCAAATGATCGGGGGGGGGGGAGGGTAGTAAGAGCACATGTGTGCATGATTGAAATAAATAGAGAGAGAGAGAGAGAGAGATAGAGAGAACCACCATCATTATGCAATGGTTCAGGGTTTGTGTAATGTACATTTGAAACCATTTCTTAGCGTCTCAACCCTAAAAAAATAGCGAAACTGTTTTTGAGGAAAAGCATTATACTGAACTGTTGTTCATCATCATCATCATCATCATCATACTAATACTGATAAGGGCTATAGACAATGTGGTATCGGCACAGTTAGATCGGGTATATTTATAGAGGTATTCTAAATTACATTCTGATAATCAATATTTTGTTCTGTATTCATATTATATACACATAATACAACTGATCTTTATTAATTCTTAACGTGACATATCTTCTTCTCCCCCTGCGAACAAAGGTTATTTAATGAAAGGATCATGCGACAAATGATCATTGTGATTCAAATTGATGCAAAGATTTTTTTTTTGAATAAGCAATGCTTTTCACAAGAATCTTCTTTGTAAAAACGTTTTTTTTTTTTTTTTTTTTTTTTTTTTTTTGGGGGGGGGGGTGGTTTTTCTTGTATGAATCTCAAGTCAATCTTCGTGGAGCAACGCCTGTATAAGGCTTAGACTATAACCACGCCCAGTTTGATAAATCTATCCCAGGCGCTATAAGAATCTTCCTTGAGTGTTCCACAAATTAATCCAGAGTTTTTTGAAAGAGTCCACCAGGAAGTTCAAGTTAAGGCTAGAATTTACTCGTCCTCTGCCAAAATAGTGTTAGTTATTTCCATTGCGTTCGCCAATGCATAGATGTACACTCTTTTATGCTTGAGCGTTCATACCGAACTGAACTAAGCTATTGGATCGGCCTGGCACGGAACTCTTTTTTTTCTTTCTCAACCCTTATGTATTGTCTGCTTCAGATTTTTGGCATTGGTCATAATTTTTTCAGTGTTGAATAAACTGTAGATAGTATGCGGATGTGCCCGATAGAGCGAGAAACACGATGACCACATTGTACAATTGCCTACAGTGTATATATTACCAATGGAAACTCCTGGCAGCATTATGCAATATAATGAAAAATGGAAAGAGATAATAGACAATGGTTTTTGTACACAAACCGAGCAGTTTGATAGCTACCCCATGTTTAATATTAATTAGTCGAACAATATATTTGTAATTCCATTTGGAAGCTGAACATAGGTTAAGCCTCGGTCACAAATGCCATTTAATACGAACTGCTACGAACGCCGTAAGAACGATTTTCTGACAATGGAAATTCGGGAAGACATTATGGAAAAACAGGGAGATACGAGGATCCGTTGTTTCTGCCTGAATTGGGTTCTTCAAAAAAGCACGGTCATGAATAGAGCCTTATAGGTAATATTGGGGTTGCAGCCCACGAGACCGCTAGCCCACTATACCGACAGTCCGTTTGATAACTTTTCTGAGGGTTCATCCAAGTTGTCAGAAGGGCTAGTATTAATCGACCGGTGGTTGACATGACAAGCAGGCCACGGACCGACATATTACTCTCATGGGCCTTTTGACAACAGTTGTTGCAGGCAGGGGCGGATCCAGCCGGCGGCAAGAGGGGGGGGGGCCAAATCTTGAGAAAATATTTAGAATATTTATTTTCTTGAATTAATTTTTCTACGGTGGTTTCGCTTTATCATCCATTAAGAAAATTATCTTTTGTTGTAGAAAGGCTGGAAGGGGGTGCAGACATTTGCTAAAAAAGCAGCACCTTCATTCGGGGTGCATACTTGCCCCGTAGAGGGAGCAGATGTGCGCCCTTAGGTGTACACGTCAAGCCCGCCTGCGTCATTGTTTAACCTAGGCAAGCCATCCTGTTATTTATTCAAAACGACTTTACAAGAGGTCACAACCAATTCGACTTTTATTATTTTTTGCTTTGCCTCACTATTTATAAAGGCAAAACTAGGAAAGAATAATTACTGGGTGTCGAGCCCACTACTCTAAATGATCGTATGCTGACCTTACCGATTGAGCCAACGATGGGTTGATGAAAGATGGGGTTGCATGATTAGTATAACCCTAACCCTAACCCCGACAGAGATTGATAGTCTGTATAGAAGATGTCCTGACTTCAATCTGTTTCAAATGATATTGAGCCCATTGCATTTTGTATGATTATATTATGAAAAAGAGAAAGACATTTTTATCTTTGAACATGTTTAATCTAGTTTTTCGAATATCGACACAAGCTTGAGGATATTTTATCACTAAGCCTTAAACAGACTACGCCGGGTGCATATTGCGCACCCTCCAATTTCTCGCACCCATAAGGGTGCCAATTTACGCCGCTTGTCAGATACTGCACCCTAAAAATAGCAGATCAGCACCCTCTGACAAATACGCATAGGTGGGTGAAAAATATGCACCCCAATTGCACTCTTATTTCTTAGTGTATGATCACATAATTATTTTAGTTTCGACGCTACCATTCTTAAATTGAACTAGAACCTTTTGGGCGTACTTGCAACGCATTTTTTACAAAACTGAATGTACCTACCACCTACCCTCTATTATGAATAGAACTTGAATAAATAAATCTTACAAAAGGCTATCACCTATGATCAAGATTATCCCCCATTATTAAATACAAAACCAACAATTCATAAAAATGAACAATGATGGCCGGTGAGGGTGAAAATTGGTACACACACACGTGCGCGCACACACATTCATTTTATTGAATAGATAGGCTTAGATGTGGGCAATGGCGTAGGGTTTTGTGTGGTGGTCGTGGTCGTGGTCGTGGTCGTGGCGGTGATTGTGACATTACAGACAGAAGGGTGTGTACAGACATTGATATGGAGGCTCTTACTATTTCTTTAAATGAAGTACAACATAACAATGGCATTAATGCAGGGGTATGAAAGGGGTCGTAGCCTCTTCTTTCATTTCACCTTTCCCCTTTTCCACCCTTTTTTTCTCTCTCTCTCTCTCGCTCTCTCTCGCTCTTCGTTTTGAAATTTAATTTGGGGACGTATTCCCCAATCCTTGTCCCGTGGCTACGCCCCTGAATGTTCGTAAGACAAGAGATTCAAGATTCAAGATTCAAGATTCAAGATTCAAGATAGTGGCTTAAACGCAGCCTTACATTATATCCATAAATTAAAGTGAAAACGGTGTCGAACTGTGTTTTATTTTAAACAAAGTTTTGTAAACATAGTGGCACCTGACCCTGAAGTCTCAAATGTCTCAGAACCAATGCCAGAAATCATGTTGACCTCTTCTTGAAGATTTGACTGTTTTGATAATAAAAATAATTTTCGGAATTTTTCTGTACTTTTGTTGGAAAAACATAGTAATCCAGCACAATGTAGGGGCCATCCCTCCGTCTACCTTTTATAAGGGTGTCTTTATGATTGTAAATTTATATTTTTTGTTATTTTTTAATTGACAAAAAATAAATACAATGCAATAAAATACACGATTTCGTCTCTTTTTGCGTTTGAGAACTGATGAGCAAAATAGCGATTTTCAATTGCACTTTGGCCGCTCTCCCAATTCCTCACTCGTTTCATTGTTGTCAAATGGCTTTGGGATCGGCGGCTCATGAATACACTAATCGCTAGCTTTCTTCTGTTATCAAACTTGTTTTGATCGGTTGTACATGTATATTGTTGTCGGAATTTACCCATTCAGATAATAGAATTATACCTGCCCGATGAAGCCCGTGATGCACTCTACACTGTGTGGGAGTATACATGTAGTTGTGGACTTGCGTTCATCTTCTTTTATGAGACAAATCCAAGCAAACGTTTCTATATGAAAATTCGATAATAGTCTCTATGTAAAATGCTGAAATAATATTGTCAATCGTTACCCCGTGGCTACGCCCCTGAGAGTTCGTTAGACGAGACAGTAGCTTAAACGTAATCTTACACTTTATTCATAAAGTAAAGTGAAAAGGGGGTCGAACTGTGTTTTTGTTTGTAACAAAGTTTTGTAAACACACTGGCACCTGACCCTGATAAAAAGAAGTCTCAAATGTCTCAGAACCAATGCCAGACACCATGTTGACCTCTTCTTGAAAATTAATGTTTTTGATAGAATATGCAGAGACTAGATATAGAGACATGATGGTTGCAATGTGTGGAAACATATAATGTACACAAGAATATAAAGATAAGCCACTATTAAAACTGAGAACTTGCTTTAAATTTTTTTAAAACTAAAAATCAAATGTTAATCAAAATGATACGAGAAGATTAAAAATACTTTTGTTCATCTATTTCCTTTTTTAAAAACCATATGCTGTCTTTCTGCTCAATATAGCTATTCGTATATCTTATGTTTAAAATATGCTAATATACTTATCCCTACTTGTTTTTGTTTCACAGATACAAATAAAATGACTGCTCACTTTTGTTCGCAAATAACTTTATTTTAGAGAGGAGAATTCACCAAATATTACAAGCATGAGGCTAACAATTATGGTCAAGATTTAATTATACATAAAATGAAATAAACTTACTTCAAGAAATACCATACATTCAGAGAAGATATACTAAATAAAATGAAACAACAAATGTTTTTTTAACCAAGACGTTTTACAATTGGATTTGAAATCTTTAAGTGTAATGGTAAAGCAATTACCTAGGTATTATTTGAGTGTACATTCACGAATGAAAACATAGTTCATTAGACTACTGAAAAAATTAGATATTGGAATCGGAAGATTAAAAAAGAGAAGACTAACAGCTTGAAGGGTAGGATACTGACCTTGTCATTAACGTGTTTAAAATGGGATAGGGACTGTCTGGATGATAGAAGGATCGTTGACTTGATTTCGAATATAAACCATTTTTTATTGTCAGGTTTTAGAATCATCCAAATAATAACAAATTGACTATTATAACAGGTATTTAGCTCACAATTTACAACAATACAAATCGCTATTACATAGATATTAGAATATGCAACTGACTGATCACGTGGGATTCAAATATGGTCCAGCGTTGATTAACTTATATATATGTATTTGCAATTCTTGTGGGATTTTCTGATCCCCTAAACTATCCTAATAATATTAGGAAAAGCATTTATTTCAAAGATGATGTTTTTTCCAAATCAAAATAAGGCCTCGTACGTGCTCAGCTTATATTCCAAAGAGGAAAGGTTATAATGTACGCTCTGAACACACACTTACAATGTACAGGTAGTAGAATCGAGTAAGCATCACCATTCAAATTTGGCTACATCTGAAAATAACATATACCGTAATATAATGATTAATTAAACAAGTGATGTAATATCACACTAGTGACTCATAGGAATTAACAACCACAGCGACCGGTGCGTCTTAGGTTACAAGCATAGGTCCTCAAATTAATTTGATTTCATTGAAATTTCAATATGCATGTACAAATTCAATTTAAATAAATTTGAATTATCTAAACACATTGAGAGTATAGGGTATTTGTAATATTTACAGTAGCAAGACAGCATGCAACAAACACATCATTTACATACAGAGCGAGCTGTCGTATGTCCGTGTTTATTTGCATGTGGTCAGAAACTAAAGATAACACAATCCTCGACGGACTAGGACTTTATTTGGGAAATTCTTAAGAACTTCTTATGTACTCAGCTAATGAATCCGTTCATTCGGCTTTGTATGATACGATTATCCCTTTGTTATAAACAATTAAAAGCGATATTCAGATATCGTTTGTTTAGAGCCATAAGGCAATATTAAACTCATATAATTATATATGGAGATAAACGCCCTTCTCGCTCATTACAGCTGATATGGTATCTAAACGGGTTTCTCCATAAAACACCACACATGGCGCCTAATTAGTTTCTAAAACTACCCTTTGATGCCCCACTGCACTACTTATAGCTACTTGCGCCCTCTATATAGCAAACAATGCCTAATCGGTGACCTTTGGTCCCCATGGTCCCCTTTTTCTTATGTTAATTGAGAGCTGATTTGATGAGATAACCACCGACCAGTGACCATGCAGGGAGGTCTAATCCCTCCTGGCCAAACTGGTGCAGAGGGGCCTCAAATTACCCTTTGTCACTTTTCATAAGTTATTGCTTTAATTACATAGTCATAAAATTGATGAGGAAAACGCAAATTGCGGTTGCCACAATGAATATGTTGTGGGTTAGTTTCGGTCCATCTCCAGGCGTTGTTGGCACAGAAGCTGGAGTGGTTGCAAGGGCTGTAAAAAAGATTCAAAGGATGAACATTTATGCAATGGCGTATCCAGGAATGATAAACATGGGGGCGTATTGTGAATTCAGATCGTTACTTGGTACTCCCCTTACATATAAGCAAAGAAGCAAAATGTATTTCCTAATCATATACCGTCAGGGGATAGGGGATCCGGCATTTCCTCCGGCGACAAAGAGAACAAATAATGGTCAGGGTTGCGATTGGTTCTTAGGTTAAGTTTATACCTTGGATTATGGTAACGGTTAGGAATACCAGGGTTGAAGTTATGAACTCAGTTAGTATAGGGACTTGACTATGGATTAATTTTCGCAGGAGATTGTGTAGTAAAAAAAATCTGTCACTACTGCCCTTTGGGAAATGAGAATATTATCTCTTAAACGAACAACAAAAATATGTATTACAAGTTAATTATATAATGAACATATATCACTATAACAAAACAAACATTAGAGGCGAATTGCCATAATGTTTTACTGAAGTTTGCAAACACTGCAAGTGTTAATTATTTGGTCCCGACAAGACTGTCGTGGGATCCGAAAGTTCCCTTGCTTCGATTTTTCTCGAAAGTATATGTGATTACAAATTAATTATATCTTACATGTTTCACAGAGAGTCCCAGTATGATCGGCTGGACAGGTACACGTGTAGGCCGTTTCACCAACAGCACCATTACATGTGGCACCATTCTCACAAGAGTTCGCAACACATGGGCTGACAGCTAGGAAATACAACAAGCAAAGGTCAAAGAATATTTAAATTCTTGTAAAGATGATAATTTATCATGGGAGCTTTCTCACTTTTTGTATATCAGTATCAAAGAATATCAAAGTAGAAAGTTCATCTTAAAAGCATCGCCGCCATATTCGAGATATCACGAGAAAATGTTACCCTATAAATACATGTACAAAGATCACTCAGGTTTAGTAGGCAATGGGTTAAATCTATAAAACCATGGACCGACGTCTCACTGTCGCCTCTGCGAATGTACACGATACAGACCGAGCTTCAAATCTAATCTGGTTTGTTTCATAACATTGGTTTTGTACCAAGCTCAGTTGTATTTACCTTAAGGTAGTATGATGATGATAATAATATTAATAATAATATTAATAATGATAATAATAGTAATATTAATTACAATAATAATATTAAAGACAATAATTATAATAATAATAATAATAATAATGAAACATTTTCTACACGGGGAAGGCTCAACATTCAGCATCAAGGCTATTCTTTCTGAGGGCCTTGTGATTATTATTACAAAAATAATTGCCAGGTACCCATTTAAACCCGGAGAGATTGGCAATAATGTAGATGAATGTCTTGCCATAGGACTTTAGCGCCGGTTTCGAGCCCTCAACCCTAGGATTAAGAGCCAAGTCAAATAAAGCACTACACCACGACAATTCCTCAAAGTCGACTGCTATTAACCTGTGTTTATTTATAGCAACAGTAAAGTGCAAGCAAAGAGTAGACAAAAATTACCATATCGCAATAGGGAAAGCGTAATAACTACATGTATATTACTGCCTTTGTGTGTTTTGGAAACGAGCCGCAAAATTAACACACACAATGTATTTTATTACTCTAAAATAATTTTTTTTATAAATATTTATCGATCTTTACTATACCCATTGCCTTCTGGAACCGGGTAGCCCCTGTATTAAGCATATGGCAATGAATGAATTCAATAGTCAACGGGTTAACACATTCGAATTACATATATTTCTTAACAACAAACATACCTGTTTCACAGACAAGCCCAGTATATCCCAACGGACAGTCACACGTGTAATCATTCTCTTGGTTGATGCCGATACACGTTCCTCCATTGGTGCAGGGGTTCGAGTGACAAGCGACGGCTTTTCAAGATGATCAAGGAAACATAGATAATAAATGAAATGCAGTAACATCCATAAAATAGGCGGGTACATCAATAATAGTTTTAATGTCTTTATAATCTAACCGTTTTGGATTTAATTTATAAAAATTAATTAATCGAGTTGACTTGTACTTTTTTCAATAAGCGTACAAGTTACAGTGATCAATTATTGCTGAATCAAGGGTACATTTCAAATATTGTTTAAACATAATATCTAAATGCCCATACTAAAACGAATTGTTATAAATATATTCCATGAATTATAAAAAGAAGGAAAATTGAAATTTTAATTGATTCTGAAACTATAAAGCATTCCATTAAACGTTACTTTCTTAGGGGGGGCGAAATGTTGGGCATGTTGATTAACATAACCGGTCCCATAACTATGAGCGATAATGGTCGCTCATAATGAAACGATGACCACAAAATGATAATGGCGATTTTGTGAGCAATATTTATTGGATTTAGGCTAAATATCACAGCTTTTTATAGTTATAGTTATAATTATAGTTATGGGTATGGTCGACCCTATAGTACAAAGAAATTCTGAAAAGTACATTGTATAAAGCCCAAGAATGTATACACAATAAAGAAAGTCAAATATTCAAAAGGAATTGTTTCAATAATTCTAAAATCCTCTTCCAAGAAGGTAGACCTCTGACTTACATCGGGATTCCATATATTCAATATGCATTTACCCAAAGTTCTCTTTAATAATGATAGATTGATATTCGGTCTCATAGTGTTATGGTCACGTTGTAAAACTATTGTTTTTTAATTTGAATTTATTAACAACAACACATTGTTATTGGGAATGTTTCTTAAGCATTACTTTTAATTGTACCTTCATCACATGTAGATCCCTTGAAGCCAGTATCGCCACATGCGCACGAAAATGCTGTGTTTTGCTCAACATTCGTACACGCTCCTCCATTTAAGCAGGGAGTCGAATCGCATGGGTTATCTGAAGATTAAAGAACACAAATAAACGTTTATTGAGCCAAAGTGATGGTTCGGGAAAGAATGTGGTCGCAAAGTCATGTAGGCTTTCAGAGTGTGGACTGTGAAAGCAATAATACTGATAATGATGATGATGATGATGATTGTGACTGCCAAACAAACCAAAACTTGTGAAGAGCGCCACCTTCTGGCAAAGTTTAGACACTCTAGATAAAAAAAAAAAAAAAAAAAAAAAAAAAGAACTGACGATATGAACCCGGGAAACCGACTGATCTTTCAACCTTTTTCTGTCAAGAAAACTGGTCTATTTACTCGAACACTTTACGTGGGAATGGTCGCAGGAGAAAGCTTTTGAATTAATGGAGAATGTATCGGTGAGAAGAAAGCAGAATTAAAGTTTGATTTAGACAGATTATAACCAGTTTTTATCGATTGACCTGTCGAACTCCAGTGTACGTGTACGGTGTACCTGAACATTTATTTATTTAGTTTTATTTAAAAACAGGGTAGTCTTTTCAGTGCTAAAGGCCTGCTTTACAAAAGAGCCCTGTACATACACGATTAGTAAGTTTAACGTGACAATTTGTTAATTATACCTGATACACATGAGAACTTATTACGAGGTGAATGACCTTTGCGACATGTTGTGAATGTTATGGGAGCGAGGTATAGAGGACAGAGAAGCGTATGAAGCAAGTCACGGCAGTTATGTCTTTGAGCAAGACCTTTCATCTATATCGATCCTTTCCACCTTCCACCCAGGTGATAAATGGGTAGCCGGTAGGACCTATTATTACCATAATTAGTTGTTACTGTTTGAAAAATGCTTCAAACGTTAAAATGTTGTAATAAAGGCTATCAAGGGCCTAATTTCATAAAGACTGATACTTTGTAAGACAGTGGTACTCACTGGACTTTTTGGATGGAAATATGTTAATATCTTGATGCTCAAACCATGTTGTCGGAAAAAGTAAAATTACCAAGCGAGCTTTGAGAAGAAAAGTACTACAAGCCTTTAAAATATTAATTTTTATTCGGTTAGTCGTTGATTTGGTTATTATGGAGTACATATCATCCCTATTTTCACGAAGTGACGGTAGTGAGGACAATCGTCACGCAAATTGAATGCGATTTTCCTCACTACCGTCACTTCGTGAAAATAGGAACGATATATGGTGAAGCTATTTGATTCTAAATGTTCCTGAAATTATCTTAAAAGGTTACATTCTCTTTCCAATGGTGTCCGATGAGGTAAGAAGTGGATAAGTAACAAAGAGGGAAGATTTAACAAAATTAAATATGTATCAATACCACTATTCCCAGACTTAAGCCTAGAGTAATATCCCCCTTGGACAACTTCCCCGTAAGAAAATTACAAAGCCGGATAAGTATGCCATGACAATAACTTTAATTACCGAAGGACAAGTACCAACTGTGTAATTAAATAAGGAGGTGCTTGTTCGAGGAAATTTGTCCGGATGTATGTCCTGGGGCTTAAGTCCAAGGGAAAGTTCTCCAGGTTATGATTTCAGAGAGAGGTTGTCTTAGCATTTGAAATTATTATTCTCTCTTTTGTTTTTTTGTTATCATTATTATTATTATTATTATCATTATCATTATTATTATTATTATTATCATTATCATTATTATTAATTGTATTATTATTATCATTATTATCATAATCAATACTAACATTATCAACATCAAAATCATCATCATCATCATCATCATCGTCGTCCTATTTTTTACCTTGAAGTTCACACATGGTGCCGGTGAAGCCGGGCGGACAGGAGCAGACGAATTCCGATTCTTGATTTACATTCTCGCACGTCCCTTCATGTTGACATGGATTAGACTCACATGGAAATACTGGCAAAGACAATACAAATTGATACCGTGTTTTTGTTGTCATATTTTGACAAAGAAAAATTGCTCTAATAATACCAGATGCCGCAATATATTTTTTTTGTGCAAAACACAAGAAGTGTACATGTATTTCCAAAATATCTAACAAGCAAGAACAAACGTTTCAACTATGGACTTTTTCGGAGGGGAGGGGTGGTGGAGTTTACAGAACTTCGTGTCCATTTGGCAAGTGGGTGTGAGCAGCCTTTTGAACTGTAAGTTCTGCAAGTGTTTATAAGCCTCAAAATTGAAATCATCATCATTACATCATCATTACTCTCCGCCTCTGTATAGCTTTTCGACTCTCATCTCTTTTGCCAACCCTTATTGTGACCTTTTTATATTCAAACCCTCATCTATTCTTACTCGGGTTACCATGCCTTCAGGCCTCTAGGCCTTTTTTTTTTAGATATGCCGCACAACATATTTGTATTGTAGAAAATCCTATCATTTACCCCCTCCCCCAATACTTATCTTACCAATATTCAGTATTGCAGTACTTGAGAGTTGCATGCATTTAATTTGTGATGTTTTATACCATCAGATTCATATCAACGTAATATCTATACAATGTTTTTTATCATGGTTAGTGAAATTAAATGAAACGGAATCATTACAATATTTAATATCATTCTCACCAAAGTGATGACACGTCAGACCAGCTCTGAGCGGTGGACAGGTACACGTGAACCCATCACCAGTCTCTTGGCATGTGCCGCCACTCTGGCAAGGGTCAGAAGTGCAGGGATTGCTATCTAAATAAACAATAACAACAACAAATTAACAAAATAACAATATGTTTAATAATAACAATATTCATAATGATGATAACAATGAATAATAATAATGTATTATCAATAATTGTAAAAATTATGATGATAATAATAATACTCATAATAATAACTTCAATTATGATATTAATAATATCAATAATGATAACAATAACAATAATAATAATAATATTAGTACCAATATTAATGTTAAGAATAAAGATAATAATCTTGATGATGATAATGATAAAAATGATAGTAATAATGATTATGATAATGGGAATGATAATAAAACCAGTTAGGTGTATAAGCCGCCTTTTCCAGAGAATGCTACCAACCGTGTGAAGATAATCATTATTACCACATGACAGGTACCAAGAGGGTATAGAAGGTGATTGTACAAGCGTAGATGACGAGATAAAATTGTAATTGAAATGATTATTATAATTATTGTTACTATCATCATTGTTTTCATTGATGTTATTATTATTATGGTTAGTGTAATTATTATTAATATTATCATCAGCTTTACCTTGAAGTTCACACATGGTGCCTGTGAAGCCAGGCGGACAGGAGCAGACGAATTCCGAATATTGATTGACATTCTCGCACGTCCCTTCATGTTGACACGGATCAGAATTGCATGGAAATACTGGCAAAGACATTGACACAAAAAAAATACATTTTTTGAAGTATTTTGTAAAAATAGTGCTTAAATAATATTGGATCCAGCAATACGTTTCTTCGTGCAAAACACACGATGTGTACATGTATTTCAACAAGTTCGAGCAAGCAAGAAAAAAAAAGTGTTTGAACTTTTTACAATTGTTTTTGTTATCATCGTTTGTGAAGAAAAGAAATGACATGAAACGAAATAAAATCATCATAGTCATCGTCATAGTCATTACAGTTATGTAATATCATTCTCACCAATGAGATGACAGGTTGGACCAGCGTAGGGAGGAGGACAGTTACACGTGAATCCTCCACCAGTCTGTTGACATGTGCCACCACTCAGACAAGGGTTAGAATCGCAAGGGTTTACGTCTAAATAAACAACAACAACAACAACAAATTATAAGTATGATAATGCCAACGAGGACAATAACAATGAACCAACAAAAAGTACGTTTAATAATAACAATAATCATAATGATGACAATAATGAATAATAATACTTTATTATCGATAATTTTAAAAAATCGTAATGATAATATTAATCATTGTCATGATAATATATATCCATTTATGTATTAATAATATCAATAATGATAACAATAATAATAATAATAATAATATTAGTACTAATATTAATGATGAGAATAATGATAATAATCTTGATGATGATAATGATAAAAATGATAGTAATAATGATTATGATAATGGGAAGTGATAATAACACCAGTTGGGTGTAAAAGCCGCCTTTTCCAGAGAAAGCTACCAACCGTGTAAAGATAATCATAAATTACCAAATGACAGGTACCAAGAGGGTAATTGAGTAAGGAGGTGATTGTACGAGCGTAGATGACGAGATAAAATTGTAATTGAAATGATTATTATAATTATTGTTACTATCATCATTGTTTTAATTGATGTTATTATTATTATGGTAACTGTTTATCATTATTAATATTATCATCAACTTTACCTTGAAGTTCACACATGGTGCCTGTGTAGCCAGGCGGACAGGAGCAGACGAATTCCGAATCTTGATTAACATTGTCGCACGTTCCGCCATTTTCACATGGATCAGAATTGCATGGAAATACTGGAAAAGACATTGACAAAAAAATACATTTTTTGAAGTATTTTGTAAAAATAGTGCTTAAATAATATTGGATCCAGCAATATGTTTCTTCGTGCAAAACACAAGATGTGTACATGTATTTCAAAAAGTTCGAGCAAGCAAGAAAAAAAAAAGTGTTTGAACTTTTTACAATTGTTTTTGTTATCATCGTTTGTGAAATAAAGACTAAATGACATGAAACGAAATAAAATCATCATAGTCATCGTCAAAGTCATTACAATTATGTAATATCATTCTCACCAATGAGATGACAGGTTGGACCAGCGTAGGGAGGAGGACAGTTACACGTGAATCCTACACCAGTCTGTTGACATGTGCCACCACTCAGACAAGGGTTAGAATCGCAGGGGTTTACGTCTAAATAAACAACAACAACAACAAAAACAAATTATAAGTATGATAATGCCAACGAGGACAATAACAATGAACCAACAAATAGTACGTTTAATAATAACAATAATCATAATGATGACAATAATGAATAATAATACTGTATTATCAATAATTTAAAAAATCGTAATGATAATATTAATAATTGTCATGATAATATATATCCATTTATGTATTAATAATATCAATAATGATAACAATAACAATAATAATAATAATATTAGTACCAATATTAATGATGAGAATAATGATAATAATCTTGATGATGATAATGATAAAAATGATAGTAATAATGATTATGATAATGGGAAGTGATAATAACACCAGTAGGGTGTATAAGCCGCCTTTTCCAGAGAAAGCTACCAACCGTGTAAAGATAATCATAAATTACCAAATGACAGGTACCAAGAGGGTAATTGAGTAAGGAGGTGAGTGTACGAGCGTAGATGACGAGATAAAATTGTAATTGAAATGATTATTATAATTATTGTTACTATCATCATTGTTTTAATTGATGTTATTATTATTATGGTTACTGTTTATCATTATTAATATTATCATCAACTTTACCTTGAAGTTCACACATGGTGCCCGTGTAGCCAGGCGGACAGGAGCAGACGAATTCCGAATCTTGATTAACATTGTGGCACGTTCCGCCATTTTCACATGGATCAGAATTGCATGGAAATACTGGAAAAGACATTGACAAAAAAATACATTTTTTGAAGTATTTTGTAAAAATAGTGCTTAAATAATATTGGATCCAGCAATATGTTTCTTCGTGCAAAACACAAGATATGTAAATGTATTTCAAAAAGTTCAAGCAAGCAAGAAAAACTATTTGAACTTTTTACAATTGTTTTTGTTATCATCATTTGTGAAATAAAAACAAAATGGCATGAAACGAAATAAAATCATTATAGTCATTACAATTATGTAATATCATTCTCACCAATGAGATGACAGGTTGGACCAGCGAAGGGAGAAGGACAGTTACACGTGAATCCTCCACCAGTCTGTTGACATGTGCCACCGCTCAGACAAGGGTTAGAATCGCAGGGGTTTACGTCTAAATAAACAACAACAATACCAACAACAACAACAAATTATAGTAAGAATATTGATAATAATGAGAAGAACTATACTTTAATGATAGCGATTACACTATTCGTATTATAACAATAATATTAATAATAATTATAATCATACACATACAATTGATATAAATGTAATATTATAACAACAATTACAACAACAATAACAATATTAATTACAATAACAATAATAACAATAACAGTTGGATATTAACCGCATATTTCAAAAAATTTGGTCTAAAAGCAAATTTAGATGAATTGTAGGGGTATATTTTGAAGAAGTCTTGTGAAGTACTAAATCCCAGAAATGCATGTAGTTTATTGTACAGGTGTTGGACAACGGATTGAAATGTTTTGAAGCCAACCATATATTTAGGGAGGACAGCTAACCCAGCCACGACCATCGCCCACATGTTGGGGTTCGGTTAGGTTAAAAAACTTTCAAAGTCCTTAAAATTTTAAGATTCTTGACCGAAAATGGTTTTTCAAATTGTGCTTAAAGCCAGGATATTTCATTGAGAGAATAGTAGAATCAAAATTCCTAAATTAGCAACATTACTAAGAAGGAAATGTAAGTGGTAATAATTTAAAGAGTGACACAATATCCCCTAGAAATACCGGTCATGAATATTCACACTACCGGAGACAATTCGTGAATAGGATGCTGGAAATATGCACAATTTTGAATGCTTCTCCAAGTGTGTGAAATAAATCTACTTACTCTGAATGGTAGGTCCTTGGACCTTTACCCAAAATGTTTGATATCTTTGCACAAACGTAGCTCTGTAAAATAAAAACATATACAAATGAAATGAATGGGTCGTATACCAATCCAAAATGCGTTATATATATTTGCCCTTAGATTAAGGAACACAAAAATAAAGATAATATGTTTTCAATATTTTGATGCAAGCTTCTCCCATCTGTTCTTCCTGTCGTATCACTCTCGCTCTTTATTTACTCGTATCACTCTCGCTCTTTATGTACTCGTATCAATTTACATAGAGTTAGCGCCCTTTTGGCTCCTATCAGCTAAATATTTATTATAAAGCCCTACATGTTGTATTAAACAGGACATCCACAATGTATATATAACCCTAAATGGTACATTAACCGGACATTATTTTTTTTTAAATGGTATATTACGAATGCCCTAACTCTTACCCTAACCCTTACCCTAAATTCAAAACAATATAACTAATTAAACTAAGGCCTTTAAGTTTCTACTGGCTGCAAACGAAGGTAGAGGCCAGTAAGTATATTGTTCACATGCCCTGCCAATTACCATGTCCACTTAATGACTCACTTTTCACTACATATGACCGTCTAAAGACGATGTAAGATATATATATATATATATATATATATATATGTATGTAAATATTTATATTGTATGTAAATGTACTTAGATTCCTATTCTTATGATTTTCTAAATATGTAATATTTGTTAATGATTTCAACTCACACGACCTTGACATCAGATATTTTGGTTGCAGGCGCAGTCCACACAAATTCATTTGTCACATCTTTGACGGCACTGTTCCTATGCGTCACCACGTTGTTGCTCGCTCCGTCACATGACCCGGCCTGGAAGTTCGTATCTGAGGCTGCCACATTCCAAGTCCCTACAATGCCATCATTGTCTACTTGCCTCATTTGCAAGAGGATTCCCTTAAAACCAGGAGAACCCGAAGCCGTGGTGATGGACACTGTAATTAGATATGACAGCGTTCATTTTTAGTCCAGCATGCCTTTTGGAATGCCCCCCCCCCACTCCGTAAACGGAGGGATATCATGCGTGTTCCCAAACTCTCCAGCTCGTAACAAAAGAAAAAGGTTTACCCGTATTGACTTTACACACCGGACTTTTGCTGAAAGGGGGGGGGGGGTGCTGAAAAAGTCCCGTATAACAAAATTAAAAGGTCGACCCATATTGACTTTACACACTGAACTTTTGCTGAAAGGGGGGGGGGTCGCTGGGAACACGCATATGCGTACCCTAAATAACACTGAGTGGGGGCGGAGGAATGCAACCATATCATGTGAAAAATTTGTTTTTATGGTAAATTAGTACAACAGATTGTAAGGGAGGAGAGAGAATGAACAGAGAGAGAAAGAGAGAGGGGGAGCGAAAGAGAAAGAGAGAGAGGGAGAGAGAGAGAGAGAGAGAGAGAGACTCGATCCACATGTAGTTGTTATTCTATAATGATGATTATGTTGCAGAAGATTACTCACCTTTGTGTATCACCTTTGTATAGAGTATGTTTAAACCATATGGGGGTATTTGGGGATCATGCTTTCTCCGAACTTACTGTTAAGTGTTAGGTTTCAATGTTTGGTTTGTCCAATGCCTACCTGTGATTTGCTGACTGGCCGAGAAGGTGCTCACATCAGCTGTCATAGTGTAGGGACTAGGACTAATTGAAGGAGGGATATAATGACCAGGGAGCATGCTACTGCATATTTCGGGGTTGCTGGAGACCGGCGCCCCTGATGACCGAGCCTCGGTGATGACATGCCCGTAAGATGCTACTAGCAGAAAAATCAGGGCGAGCCTTACCCATCTCGGGACGAAACATTCACTTCCTCTCATCATTGCGTCGATGATAGTGCCCCTTTTCTATGGAAATAATACAGATAGCTCAATTATTATCTGTATAAATATATTTGACGGTTAGTTTTTAAAACATAATTAAAACATGAACATAATGGTGATTCAATAACACTCAGATACGTCCGCGCTCACTGTTTGGTCTCGTTATAGTATTATATTTATATTCATATTATAGTATTAATGACTGCTTTGAGAGAAATAGTTGTTTTTATACGCTCAAGGGAAGGTTAGAATTGTGCTATTGCCCGAGGCGTGCCGAGGGCAATAGCCCAATTGTAACCTTCCCGAGAGCGTATAAAACAACTATATCTCGAATATTAAAGCAGTCATTAATACTTTTATATGCCGAAAAAAAAAGAGTCAACTTATGACACCACCTTGGCCTTTATCTAGAATTATCTGCACGGTTGTTTTTTATGAGTGTATCTTTGAGTGTAGACTAAAAAATAAAAAAATAAAATAAAAACACTTTTGTCGAAGATGGGATTCGATCTCTTGCGCACCAACGATGATGTGACTAAAATCACGGCCTTTGACCGCTCGGCCATCGCGCACTGATACCAATTCTAGCAGTTTTCTCTGATCTATACATTAAAATGGATTGAAAACGGCTTCGCGTGCTGGATGCTTCGCGGCAGCTCCATTAAACGGGCCCTTCTTTTACAATGCATTGGCACGAACTTAGATCAAGATCTATCGGCAGATGTTGTTTTTGGAACTTTATTTTCGTCTTCATGTCAACAATGCAAGATAAAATTGTCGGTAAGATCGATCGAGATTCAATTGTAATGAAATTACCGACCATTTCATCGCACACGTACGGTATCCTCGATCGCTCAGACCATTTTTTAACATGTCAACCTATGGGTATTTCACCAAGACTGAACTATTTTCCCGGTAACCATGGTAACTGGGATTGTAGAACTATTTTTTAGAACTATTACATGGGTTTGGAATTTTACCGGAAATTTTACAGGAATAGTTAAAGTTTATGAATGCAATTTCGACCAATCAGATGGCTGGATTTCTTAAGTGAGGTATATAACAGACTCTATTTTTGTAACCCCCTCCCCGTCTCTCTCTCTCTCTCTCTCTCTCTTTCTTTCTCTTTCTTTCTCTCTAATATTCATTTCCGTCTATATAAGTCATGTTGAATCCGTCTGATTCTCCTTCTCTCTTTCTGCCATCCATTATCTCTGTTCCCTTATTATATGTCTCTCTATTTATTTGTATTTGATGCAGAAGATATTATTTTTTTATAGAACCATATGAAGTCACATCATACAAAAAGTAATTGGAAAGTGAAAAGCGCTTTACATAATGATTTTAATAACTGGCAAGTTGACTAATTGCTTTCACTGACTCGATTAAGACAGGTAATAATGCAAGCAGAATGTAGCCTCGTCTGCAATAGGCAATAATACAAATCTTGAAGACATTTGTGCAAAAGAGGTGAAACTGGGAGATTTATAAAATAGTAATAAATTGAAAATACGAACCTTTTTCAGATATGTTCCTGCTAATCAATGAAGTGAGGACAAATGAAGAAGAACGTTACTCCCTGTGTGTCAGCGGATGAAATGGTGGTGCAAAATTGATACACGTAGATAGCATGTGTTTTCGTATTTATCATAATCAATAGCTGGATGCGTAATATATGCCTTTTATTAATTCTCTCCTGCTATAATAACAGTGTTGAATATATAGTCTAAGTTCCAGAGTCTTTTCTCTAGCTGTGTTTGATATAATCACCAGAAACAACGGATACAGGAGTAAGAAATGTACTGCGTACCTTATTTCGTACCAATAAGTATTTGTATGTCAAGAAAAACATCATATCCACTTAATTGAATGCGAAAATGTGATATCTTTATTTTTTAAAGACAATATTCCGAATGGAATTAAACTAGCAGTGTGAACGAGAGAACGAGTCATGCATAGCTGCCATGTCTACAAAGATTCTATTGGAACCTGTGAAATATCTCACCCGTTTGCTTGGGCTACCTACGGAGGTCATGGTTGTGATCTACTTTCTGTATCATTATTATTCGGTTTAATTTGTTTCAGACCATTGTGATGGTTCACTTTTTCCTAGAGCTATCTTTTCTCTGAGCTATTGGCTGTCATATTTCTTAAGGTGTGAATGGCCTTCCAAAGATATTGTGCAATTAATGACGTATCGGTAGACTCAGGATGTGGTTTATGGTACAAAATATAACAAAAAAGATTCGGGAAGACTCTATTACAGATTCCGATGTGACAGCTGAATGAATTGCATATATCCAAATCACGGATGTTTACAGATATTCATACATTATTGGGTTGGTACGTGTCTCTTTATTCTTCCCTTCCCCCTGCTCTCCCCTTTCCCTCTCTCTCTCTCTCTCTCTCTCTTACACTCATTGCTTCTCTCTCTCTCTCTCTCTCTCTCTCTCTCTTCCTCTCCCTTTCCCTCTCTCTTGCTCTCTCTCTCTCTCTCTCTCTCTATATATATATATATATATATATATATATATATATATATATATATATATTTCTTTCTTCCTCTCTCTAATTCTTATGACATAGAAGACGGTTTGATATGACTTCGCCTTTCATACCTAAAATTCTGGTCAAGGGGATGAGGCAGCAAATTATCTGACCAGCGCCCCCTTTGTTTTCTTTGTGTGCATCATATCCAACAGAGCAATCAAAATAGATTTTTAAAAATGCGAATCCAGTTCTATATAGTAAGTTACAATATAACGAATACTGAATAGTTTACGCGCACGCACAAAAAGAACGAAGAAACACCATGTTGTGACAAACTCTGTATATAGATGGCTCTGATATCGAATTCAAAAGCCCGCCATCTACTCACCTACTTTTTACCCTATCCGATCCCAAGCCTAGATATCTGCCCAACGTTATGTGTCATATTGCCTCAGAGATGCAATCCTAAACGAAGAAAGCAGGTAGAAAGAGACCACAATGGAAATGATACCTTGCTACAGTTTAAATGTGTTCATGTTTGTGTTGTTTGAATGTGGTTCTGAACGTTAACGAGATGCACAAGGTGCACAAGGTACACAAATATGGAGATTTATCGACCAAGCTTTAAAAATGCAAGTTTGCAGATATTAATTTTGAAAGATGTTTTCACACCGCACAGCCCCCTCTATCGACACTCCTGATTTCGATGCAGCTCTGAAGTACTACATGATATAAGGACAATCTGTATTCAACGTGTGATACAAATATTTCCTCCGTCTGAATTGAATTTTAAAAAGCGGATTCATACTGCCATTGTTCATGATCGTTATTTCGTATATACTAGCCACCTTGATTCTCTCCAATCAAGTCCAAATCAATCTGCTGTTTCATCACCGCCTTTTACTTGCACTCATAAGGAGCTCCAAAATATACTCCAGTATTTTTCCTATTCATAAATCACGATATCAAGTGATTAACATTACAAACTCCTGGAATGAAAATTAGTGATGATGAAATTAACAGTGGGATCAATATGGTCAATTGGTCAAGATTCTTGTTTCCCATACTAGAAATGCTGAGTTCGATTTCGTCATGGTGCACCGCGGTGTAACCATCTCTTCGCAAGGTTTTTAACCCATATCTATCCCCCTCGACCAATGCGCATTAATGGCTACCTGGCAATTAATGCTAGGGTAACGTCTGGCAGGTCAATATTAACCCTGATATGGTTAAGACTAATTAAGACCATAATCATGATTACTGTTTCATTAAAGTCCCAATGCACTACTTATAGCTATTTGCGCCCTCTATATAGCAAACAATGCCTAATCGGTGACCATTGGTCCCCAATGATCCCCTTTTTCTTATGTTAATTTAGAGCTGATTTGATGAGATAACCACCTGTCAGTGACCATGCCGGGAGGTATAATCACTCTTGGCCAAACTAGTGCAGTGGGGCTTTATTATACCATCTTCGATACATTATTACGCCTTAGGTAGGAAATCAATGCATTCTAAACTATACAAAATGTAATCAACGAAGTGGTTAACACAAGATATTACTGAATTAATCATAAAATGAGCTGATCAACATTTTTGCTTCCAAAGTTGTCCTTGACAAGGTGCTGATGGAGAGCTACACGTCTACAAGGTGTCTAAACATTGATGGACCTTCCCTGTCGGTGTTTTTAGGACGTCCTGCCTCCTCTATTTATGCATCCTTGTTTTCATTCCACACCTTGGCTAAGAGCAAGACAGTGACATTGAAAGTCCTACGAGATGCTGCCTTTCCCATCATAGGCTCGAGTGGTAAAGATATAGTTGACAGTGATGACGATTGCCTAAGAAAACAAGGAGGTGTGCTCACCCATTGTGAAACAAAAATGACACAAAACAAACTGATTTCTTTTTTTAAAGAAAGGGTTATGGCAACACAGGAGCCACTTATTATTTTACGCCAAATTAGGTCATGTATTTCAAAAGGGTTAAATCAATCAGATTTTATTTTGTACAGATTTATCTAGCAGCACTGAAAGATTTCTTTAACTACACGTGTTACAAATGGAAAAAAGCATTGCATCTTAAAAGAAAGCACATTACCTGGACCTTTTCGTAAATTAAAAGACGAATGCCAATAATATGTCACCAGATTGCTCAACCGTACATCTTGTTTCCATTTTAGATATATGTCAATGATTTTTTTTTAAATAAATCCTTAGGGTATAAATGAATATTATTACACATGGAAATGGTAGCAGGTCATGTATATACATGTACAAGTTTATGTGTATACATGTGCTTTTCCGCTTATGCATCTGGTATATTTTGAATGTGAAATTATTATTAACTCTTGTCTAGGTTTTTTTTTTTTTAAAGAAGCAATCCTCATTCAAACTAGTATCTCATTGCAATCTCTTCCATCCTACCTATTTTTGAATGTGCTCTATTGAGCATAATTAAATCAGATTACTTTAATCTTTTAAAGTACATTGCTTTTATGGGTATACTTCGGCTTAAATGAAAGAAATGGAAGTTAAAGGTAATGCAAAGTTTTGGTATGGGGTTATGAATTTGGTTCAAATGAACGTATTGAAAGCATATGCGATCCTGCACTATTCGGTGATCGTTGTCGCGGTTGAAATCGAGTCTAAATATATCAAAATTGTAAAGAATCATTACCCACACAATTTTTGAATTTTCCCAAAACTTTGTATTACCTTTAAGGTTTATTCAATGAACTGTGAGGGGAGAACAGAAAGAGAGATTTGTTAATTATTTTTTTTACCCGACTGCTAATAATTCATATGAGTAATTAACATGGGGACCAAAGGCTTTAATCCTCTCTGAGAAGACTTGGTAATGGATAGGGAAAGAGAAAGAGAGAGGGGAGAGGGAGAGAGAGGGGGGGAGAGAGAGAGGGAGAGAGGGAGGGGGAGAGAGAAAGGGAGACGGTAAAGAGATGGGATGAGGGAAGGTGAATCGCGAAATGAATGAGAGACAGCTAGAAAATAAAAATGAAATCCTTCTAAGGCTGATTGTGTAAACACCTGCATATCAATAGTACCCTGGACAGCAGTATTATGGACAGTTTGTCAGCAAGATTGATTGCACGACGAACTATGCGGAGTCTTTATCAACTAAATATATTCAAATATATGGGTGCTTTCTTCCCAGGTGCTTGTGGTGTTGAAGCATTTCATTCACCTGCTATAATCCTTTGTACTCCAATTGCCAGAATGCAAATTGCATAAATAGTTGTGCTGTTCTGGGGTGAAGGTTTCGCATGAATGACATAGATTCTTCTTTATATATTCTGCTTTATATCAGAATTTGTTTTTGAATGAGTTACAATTGTTACCCTATTATATATTTTTTACCAAATGTAATTTTTACTTCTCGGCTGTGATTGTCCCTCACTGAATAGCAAAGGTTTTATTATTGAATTGAATTTTTTTCCCAAAAAAGCCATGTGCACGACACATGTACAACTCCGCCTGGTACGTCACATTTTCAAGAAAATATCTGCACCCATTTCATGCTAAAAGGAATTACATCATGCCAAGAAATCTTCATTTATATATCTCTTGTACACGTTCGTAAGATTTATTGTACATCAAAAGGGAGGATATCATATCGTTTTTTTTTCAGAATACCTACACTCATTATCTGGGGTTAGTTCATTTGTTCATTAGTTCAGTGACTAGCTAATATTGAAACAGATTTTTTTTTTTCGTACAAAAATGTTTGTCTTGTGATGCGCACGAATGCCTCGCACTCCCACATGGCGCCTATATTTCTGTGAATAAAAATAAAATTGTAATTAAAAAAAGGCAGGCTTAGTGATTTTACACAAACAACACGAGTACCGAACACAGCTAAACATTCCTCCTTTTGAAGCAATATTCCCTCTTTTGTTTTGTTGAGGTCATGCTAGTACCCCTATGCTTTGTGATCTCATCCGTGCTCTAGTAGAGGAGGAATGCTCAAATAGATATGTGTGTCCGTTTCAATGTCTCCCACGATACATGCTGCAAACATTTTGTTACAAAATCATTTTAGTATATATGTTGTATAAACCCGTAGTTCGCATAGTCTCATATATCATGCTATGTGTAAATTCTTTTACATACTTGTACATTTTAGACTTCTTAACAAGAGGTTTTAATTTCAGTCAGATTGTCCAAACACTTTTTTGTATACAGGGGGAAGTCATATTTGAATACACTTAAAGGGACTTGTACCATTGTTCAGATGAGAGAAAATGGTGCTAAGGTAGTGACTTCAATGCGAAATGTACAGTTAAAGATAATCTGAGAGTTTGAGTGAAAACACACCATTATTAATGATAACAATTGGAAACAATTATCTGATCGGTTCCTTAATTCCCCAAACTATATTTTGTATAGAGCCTGTTTTATGTCTTAATTTCATGGAAAAACGTTTGGGAAAATTCAAAAATTGGTCGGGAGAATTTAATGATAAGAGGATGTCGCACAATGTCGTCTCCAAAGAAAACCATAAATATCTTTGTGGTTTCAATTTTTGTTCAGGATTGTTTGCATGTTAGAGGGTTAGTACAGTAAAAGGAATATAATAATTAATATTTCATACAATCATTTTTCATCAACCTTCAACAATGTCACGGGTTCACTTTTAAATTATATATGATGTAATTATTGCCGTGTGAAATGATTCGGAATTTGTTCATAAGCTTTCCTCATCCGAATCCCTTCTCCTGTTATTTGTTAATAATGAATAAAAACCAGGGGGGTGTTTCACAAAGATCTTAAGTAGAACTTAATACTAAGTTGGACTTAAAAATTATGGACAGCCATTGGAGCCTTAAAATGAAATATATTCAAAAGCAGAAATTCAAGTATTTTAGACTTTTTATAAATTCCACATCCAGAATATTAAATCTCCTTGATGATAGAAGATATGCATGATTTGAATCAACATTTCATGCCTTCTAAAAAAAAAATTACAAAATATTTTCAAGGATGCTAATGGCTTCCCATAAATTTTAAGTCCAACTTAGAGATAAGTTCAACTTAGGATCTTTGTGAAACACCCCCCTGGTCTTCTTTATCAATGGTTTCATCATTGGTATTAACCCGTTGACGGCTGAATTTTCACATTCCCATAGATTTAACACAGGGATCACCTGGTTCCTGTAGACAGTGGGCTTAACCAAGCGCAATCAACTGTTAAACGAATTTGTCATGAGTCCTGAGATTTCAATTTGTTACTGCATGTCATGGAAGTATTACCGAGCAGCAGTGGCGAACGATTGTCGCTAAAATTCAACAATCGTTGCTTATTATTTAAACATATTTGTGGCTTACACCCAGTAAATAAGATCGATTGATCGATCTGTATTGAAAAAAAAGTCATAAAAAATCTTGGAACCAGCGGGACTTAAACCTGCATCTAATGCTTTCCGGCAGCGACTCTACCACCAGGCCATCACTGGTCCATGGCACAGTCACGGTGAACTAGAACAAATACCTAAGCTCACCTAATTCTTTCTGACTCATTAATATTCATTAGTCCGCCATAGGACAATAACTGTTAAAAATGTAATGCTTCCTGGGAGAAATTTCAATTATTTAAACATATTGGTGGCTTACACCCAGTAAATAAGATCGATCTGTATTGAAAAACAAGTCAGACAAAATCAGAAAAAAGTCCCGCTGGTTCCAAGATTTTTTTCTGACTTGTTTTTCCAAACAGATCGATCAATCGATCTTATTTACTGGGTGTAAGCCACAAATATGTTTAAAAGTTTGAAATTTCTCCCAGGAAGCATTACATTTATAATCGGTGCTTAGTTTGCTTTTCCCTAAAAATTACCCTGAGACATCAAGCTACATAGAACTTTGATCTAAAAACATGATATTGCATTGAAACAGTCATAAAACATTAGAACTAAAATGAATAAGAGATAATGCGATCATGTAAACAAGTGCAGTTTGCCCATGTTAATCCGCCAGTACCGAATACCGAGCCAAACTCGAGCCAGATGCAAAAAAGGTACCCTTAAAGACATTAGATTAATGACATATTGTCTATTTTCTCATGATTGTATTCTCTACTTGTTTCTTTTTCCTACTTTTGTTTTGTTTTACTATATATTCGAATGTTCCCTTGCATTGATAAGGTTCATTTATTTTCATTTTTTGGAGGGCGTGGTGAAAAATGACAACTTCTTTAACATTTCGCTGCCATGATAATGATCGTATTGTGTTACTTGATATGACTCAAACTTTAATCATAATCAAACAGACATCTGAAGTTATTAGAAGCTTACTATTTGCTTCATGTTGTTGAACAGAATTTATAATATTCCCTTACAAAATCCATTATTTCTTGATTCGTTTTCATTAATCCAAAATCGTCGTTCAAATCGGACAAACTCTCACAATGCATCCAATGCAATACCTGTGAAATATCAAAGGCCACAATTTAGTTGCCCTTCTAGTCCTTCTTCAGAGGACATACTGTGTATGATCGAATCTCTTTGATACTAGCCCAGAGATCACTTCCATCACCTACCTAATGGCAACCAGACAGATCATTATACCCGAGGGTCATAGAAAACAGAAATTAATCATTCGAAATTACGCGAACTGTTTGTTAACTCATCACATTGTAAACAAGTAAACAAAGAGGAGAAACTCCTAAAAATCCAAGGCTTATTATACATTTATGCTGGAAAAAGTCAGTTTTTAAATGATATTCTGGCAAAAAGTGTACACCGAATCGCACGAATTGAGTGTGAAAAAATTCATGCGATTCGGTGTTTAATTTTTCTTCAGCTTCGGAGGGGGGGGGTCACATTCACTCAGACTCCTCCTGTCCGCCCATGTTCGGAACGCGCCGCCAATTATTTTCTCATAAATTGGGCTCCCCCAATCCCCCTCCTTCGCCGCCGGCTGGATCCGCCCCTGTATTAGGTTGCTCCGACATGTGGGGTGTTAAGTCACAAGTAATATAGACTTATGATATATGTCATTCCGTCTGATCAATCCCAAAATCGTATGAAATTAGTCTGCCTTGTTCAAAACTTTGATTAGTTATTCCAAGTAAAATGTTAATAACCTATGTTCAGCTTCCAAATTGAATTACATATATAGTTCAACTAACTAGCATTACGAATGTGGTTCCTATCAAACTGCTCGTTTATTGTAGACTTGTCATTCTCTATCGTCTCTTTCAATTCCATATTTATAATGCATAACGCTACCACGAGTTTTCATTGGTTATAGACACTGTATTGTACCATTGACAATTGTACTTGTAAGCGGGCACACCCGTATAAGTCTACAGTTGGCTTATATCTGAATAAATATGATTAATGCCCAAAATATGGAGCAGACAATACAATAGGGGTGAGGAAATAGAAATCCGTGCCAGGCCCATCCCGCAGCTCAAGGCTTTAGTTCTGTTTGGTATGCTCGCTCAAGCATAAAAGCGTGTACACCCATGTATTTGCGAAAGCCACGGAAAGAGCGAAACCGGATTTGGGCAGTGAGCGAGTCAACTCTAGACTTAACTTGAACCACTCCTGGTGGTCCTGGACTCTTTCAAACCATTTTTGGATTTATTTTTGGAATACTCAAGGAACATTTATATAGCGATTGTGATAGATTTATTCAACTGGTCTTGGGTATATCTTAAGGCCTTATACAGGCGTAGCTCCTCAAAGACTTTTGGAAACAGTCATTACGAACATATACTAGTGTCTACGAGGAAGTAATATTCAGTGTACTGGTGTACCCATATTGAAGGGTAGAGAAAGACGGCAAAGATGGCGGGAAACGTGATGACACTTCTGTCATTTATGATCGGGGCCTTTTCCTTTCTCGTGTTTTGTCAGGTTCAAAACAGCAACGCGTACCCAACGGGAGCTGTTATATCTGCCTGCGGTGATATGACACCGAATCATGGATTCAGTGCTCAGACGTCGGTCAGTCCCTACAGCATCACCGTGAGTTCTGCATTCTACCAACCAGGACAGCAGATGACTGGTAAGTTCTCTTTTACTCACGTCACTTTAAAGGTAAAGACCGGAAGTGGTAAAATTGCGGTTCAAGGGTTTTGGGTGCACAATATCAATCGATTGTTTAAATATTGCCTTCAGAAGATGGCAATACTTCAACCAAAATTCACAAAAAAAAACAGAAATATATGACCAAATATTCAATGTTGAAGTGCATTCGCGATATCTATCCAGGCCGGATCGATATAATAATTTCCAAAATATATCAATTAGTAGGCGGTTTCCCGGCAAAATTTGTATCATCACGTATTAGTCAAAAACATAATCTTTCACATGATTGGTAATAAGAGCTTCCATTTAATTTTTGAGAGGGGGGCGTTTCCAAAACTGGTCTATACCTTTAAAGGAAAAATTCATGCCACTTTGTCCCATACGTTTTGCCGACCACTTCGACAATCTTAGTACAGTCAAACTTGTCTATTGAGGCCGCCGAAGCGAATTAGTTAAGTGGCCACTGTAGACAGGTGGCCTTTCTAAACATGTTCTGTTACCCAAATTCTTTCTCAAGGGATGCAAAATGCATGGCCGTTACAGACAGGTGGTCTTTATAGAGAGGTGGCCACTAAGATAGTTTTGTATATCTGATCATTACATAGATTTAAATGCCATATTAGAGCTCAGATCAGATCAAATGACGACGACGTACATGTGTGTAGATGACGATGATGATGACGATGAAAGTTATAATGATTTATTTCAACGGACTGCTAAGTAAGCAAGTACATTTGTGTAGGTAAACAACCAGTGGACCATCAATTTGATGCCAATTAATGTACAGAACTCCACAATACCCAGAAACGTATGGGTGAATAATGGGACACTTATTGAGGAAATAGCTTGGATATTCCCCAAATTACAGGATCAGAGAGTTGACGAGGGGGAGAAAGAAACTCTTGTGTAATTAGAAACTTTTTTTTCAGCATCAATCGTGGAAGTTGAACTAATATGTCCTTAACATAATAAATACTTTGGTTGCTTCCTCTGTAGGATAGGATGAATATTGAAGTTGAAATTGAAATTCATATTTACGTCCTTCTGAAAATGGAACAATCATGATTACGGTAGACATTGCAAATTCACGAACATGAAAACCCGGAAAGCCATTTTATGTTGGGAACACTGAGAAAAACAATAACACGATCGCAAAGACTTTCGAGAAATCAACTCAAGGACAATATCAATATCTCATTGTATATCCCATAGACACCATGTTCTGATTACGTAATATGTTATTGCAATGTTAGCACATTTCAATAGAGTATCAACGTGCTTTGTCATTGGTCATATTCTGTTGTCGTCCAAGTTACAGTTTTTAAAAAAACAAAACCTGCGCATGAGGTTCACCGTGAAACCATTCAAGCAACTGGCTGGAGCAGGGCAAATTCAGTGTACTGGCTCTGGTGTGGTCACCACGCCATTTTTTAGAACAAAATTGTTTGAAACTAGGATTATTGCCAACTTGGCCAGTATGACGTCACGCTATGGTACTTTATAGGTGAATGACAAGGCTTTTAAAGTTTTATTATGTTGATTTCTAAGGTCTTTGCAATCATAAACATTTGACTCAGTATGAAAACTTATTTGCATGCTACTGGGAAGGAAAATGAGAATGGGAAAAACTAGACATTTACTTCTGATAATGAGAGGGAACATATTTAGACATTTGATCGATTTCTTTTTGTAAAAGCCATTTTAATAAACATACATGTATGTATTCTTTCTTTACATTTCTAGCATGGAGAATAAGGAGAAATAAAAGTACGGAGATGATGTATCCATTCCTACTGAATTTGTAAATTGATATATTTTGTAAAAGAATAATTAATTTTAAAAAAAGGAAAATAGAAAATAGGCCTTATGGATGGACCGAACAAAGTGTGACATTTGTATTACGATGCAAAAATAAGATTTGTTAAAGATAGTATCAAGGGGAAAGAAACCTTCAAGAAACTATTCTCAGAAGATGAGAAAGGTAAAAACTGTAAATAGAGGGAGGCTAGGTATGGCCTGTCAGCTGCATAGCGTATTGAGAAAGATAGTTGTGACACGCGCCCACAAACGCGATCACAGGTCAATTGACGGAGCTCCAATAGTTCTCTCTGACATACAATCTCTATGGGAAGGAACTATTTGGAGCTCCATAAATTGACCTATGATATAGTGCGTAATAATAATAATAGCAATGGTTCCGTTGTCAAAAATATGAATCGCAGCCCGGGTAATGGATTGTACAATAGATTTACAAAAGTGTTTACATTATGAAAATACACTATATAGCATCATTATAATACAGTCTGCAATATTTTTGTTAATTATTCATGAGTATAATATTTAGGAGCACATGTAATCTACCATTAAAATTAGTAGTACCATTTTAGGTGTGTAGGTGAAGACTCAAATTAATACAGATTGATCTACGTGAAGACCGCGAAAGGGAGGCAGGTGGAAAGAAAGAGAGAGAGAGAGACAGGGAAAGAGATGGATTGACAGATAGATATAGATGGTGTGATGTAGAGAGGGAAAGAGGGATAGATGGGGAAAGAGAGAGAGAGAGGGAAAGAGAGAGAAAGAGAAAGAGATGGGTTGATATAGAGATAGAGAGGGTGTGATGTAAAGAGGGACAGAGATGTAGAGAGGGAAAGAGAGAGAGAGAGAGAGAGAGAGAGAGAGAAAGAGTGCTGAGGAAAAGAGAGAAGAAAGGGAGTAGGTGATCATCAACATACAACATTACTTTAAGATAATACGAACATTTAATTGGGAAATGTGGCAAGATAAATCAGAAATGAGGTTGACCATGGACCTATGGTTTGACACAAAATACGCAATATAACCGACAGAAATAGGATGTGTGCGCGTGCTCTCAATCCTATGGTCAGTAAGAAAGAAGAGGTGATTTTGCGATGCGTTGAGTGGAAAATAAGAGGAATTAGAGCAGCAAGTAAATCGGTTGATCTATTTACGAATTTGGGATGAACATTGTGATGAAACGAAGAATTGTCAAAATGACCAAAGGAATATCTCACAAACACAATGACGATAATAATAGAATACGGTATTGCTGGCCGTATGGAGCCAAGGGCATTCTTCATTATCATTTTCTACAGTAATAACGGGTTTATGGCTCCATTTAGACGTAATACGTATGGCGGATATTGATAGGTTCTTGTGATAGTTTTTAATGAAATTAAAAATGATAAATATTTATATTCGAGCTATATTTAGTATTTAAACAGAAAAATACAACGAAATATATTGGTATCTTAAGAGAAGTACAGCTGAGAGGATCAAATGAAGAGAATAATGATAGTATTATTGATATTATATTATTGAGTAAATTTGTTCTTACTTGGAAGGGATATTGTTCTATGTCGGTCGAATAAGTATTAACACCCATCATTTTAAAAGAGGTAAGGGACACTGTACTTATTATGCCTATCGCTAATTCATTCATAAGCTCTATTAACTAAAAATCTTTAAAAAATAAGAAGGTAACTACAAATGTGTAAATCAACATTAATTCTTTTTAAAGCTTGATATTTAATAGATTTGTACGAAAACCCCAGGCTAGATGACAATCAGTTACCAACTTAATCATCATATCCTTACCAAGTTTTATAATTGTTCAAGTATGTGAAATAGATTTTCCTTATGATGTCTCTGGGGAATGTGGCATATCAAAGCTTACATCTAAATGTATTCAACAAAGGCCCTAACCAGCCCACCTTTTATTCTTGAGTTACGAAACACACAAAAACGTCTAATTTACAAGGGGGTATGAACAGTTCCGTTTATTAGCAGTGTAATACAGGAAATATCCAAGTTTTTGCACTTTTAGGTCTTATAGACATACCACGTAAGGTGTATTTACTGTCAACATATAAATATGACACACCTACTAAAGTATAAAACATAATGCAAATATTCTTAAAATAGACATTACAGTAGTTTGCAAAAGACACAAAAGGAAGAGTCATCTGACATGCCGTCACGTACTGAAAACTAAAGGTCACCTAGAAAAAAATTCTTTACAAAGGCGTTGTTATTTCCTGATATGCCCTCGATGTTTTCGACTATGATTTGTCTCATATTTTTATCGCAGTATGATATTTTAAAGCCACACTGTACTACTTGTAGCTACCTGCTCCCTCCATATAGAAAACTTCCCCAATCGGTGCCTGTTGGTCCAAATGATCCTTTTTTCTTATGTTAATTGAGAGCTGAGTTAATGAGATAGCCACATGTCACAGTGACCTCGCTGGCCTCGCTGGGTAGTATAATCCCTTCTGGCTGAACCACTACAGCCGGCCTTCAAATGTTAAGTTTTGTAATGCATGTGTCCGTATAGGGCAGTCTTAGTGCAATGACTTTACTAACATAGGCACTGTTTTTTTTTAACTTATACCAAATGTGTCCACAAATGGGTCCAAAATGAAATTATGTTTACTCACTTCAAACTTGTATTTTTAGGATCAGGACTAATCATATTTTTGAGAAATGCAAATTCTGGACCTTAATCTATCTCCTTATTTACTCACCAGATATGAATACTTTGAGTTTTTACAATTTTATTGTGAACTATAGCATATCTAATAACTATGATATAAAACTCATTTGCTATTAACTACACCTTTAAATATGTTGGGTCTTTAAGAATATGTTTCAGAGATTATTCATGCAAATTGTTGGGTTTCTATCTTGAAAAATACAGATTTTGTATCCCTTGAAAGTGAAAAATAGCTCTAAATTAGGGTCTTGACAATAACAAGTTTTTATTTTAATAGGCAAAATGCTTTTTTCTTAGGTCAAACTTATTTTATTATAACAACTGATTATATAAGGTAAATACATGCAAAAAAAATTGGGAACCAGTGCATTGCCTAATAATTTTCATATGGCACACCACTGATGTTTCGGACGTTACACACTGTTAACATTATAACTTTATTCGAGTTAATTGCTTTTCTTTAG